CATCTAGACCCCATCCGACTGGCTGGATAAACCAAAGTGAGATGGCAACTCCAGTACATATATGACTCACCCTGGATTCTGCATCCCAAAAACCTCTCTCGTCCACAATTTCGGATGGAGATGTCGCCGTGGGAGCCACAGGATTGCGGGCTTTCACGGACAACGCCCTCTGCTGCATGAACTTACATTAGCAACAAACAAAGTAATGCTCTGAATGTCACCTTCACATGAATGGTGCCAGTGGCACCATTTCCCTCTTCATCCGACGCAAACTTTCTCCGTCGTTTCTCAACCGGCTTCTGGGGTACCAAACTTGGTTCGGGTTCGCTGCCGTTTGTTTCCAGTTTCCTTTTCTGTGGCTGGCAGGTTGGTGTATTGCCCTGCCGTACCGATCTTACATTGCCATTAACATTTCATACGACTGTCACGGGAGCTATTGAGATGGAACACGGGGTGTTGGTTCTGGATTGAGCATGCCGGTTGCAGTAATTTGTACACCTGATATGAGAGGTTCCACAACAGGTGCAGCGGGAGGTAGCAACTCAGCTATGCTTGGTTGCACCTCCGGGACAACATGGAGCGACTGAATGAGGTCTGGGGCCTTTGATGCAATTACGAGAGTCCCTCTCGTTGAATTTGGCTCCGCCGGAACAGTGGATGACGACATGCTGGGTTCTGGTTCTGCGTCGGGATATGCGGGGGGCGGAGGACGATAACCTACAGTCTTGTGGAACCATGGGTGTGTCTTAATGCGCGGGTCATTGTCGACCATGGAGTTCCAGTCAGGCAATGATACAAATGCCCCAGCTTTTGAATGCTGCCGTATTACGGCTGCACAAGACAGCAGCTGAGGGGAAAACGATGTGGCAGCGCCCCCATAAAGCTTCAAATCTTTTGCCTGCGCCAAATTGAGTTGGTTATCAAAACAAAAATACATTTTACAATAGTTGGCAGCGAGGCTTACCACCCGTCTGGCGATCTCATTGGAGAATATCAATGCGGTTGGGTCGCTTTCCTTCAATTTCATACAGCGCTTCATGAGCGGTTGCACAGCCTCAAGGGTGGAGTTGAGGGCTTCATTTGCAATATCCGAAGGTGTCATTATCAAAACATACAAAGTGTAGTGAGCAACTGACGATGAAAAAAGATGGGTTCAATGATTTTTTATCAAGTTTCGGGATTTATACCGATATGTCGGTAATGGGTCTTTCCGAGAATGCATGGCCATTGTGGCAACTTGGCAATCTGGCTCATCACGGTCAATCAATAAAACTATAACGTAATACGACTTCTTCGGTGATCGTTGTCCCACGCATTCGGTCGCCGCGGCTGGGTTGTCCAATTATCGAAGCATACCTTTGCGCGTGGTGAGTGTTCCCCGAATTTCTTATTTCAAACGAAACATTCATGGTGGGCAAACGTGTTTGTTTTACTGCGCCCACGTGTTCGGATTCCGGTGACTCGGTGAAAAATGCTTCTTACAGGTGTCCTAATTGCCATACTCGCTATGGCAGTTTTTCCGACTCCAACAGTTGGACAAACATTGAGATTCCACCCAAGCAGTAAGTAATGCCAAGATTCAAATGTAAGTCTGCCTGAGACTTTTCCAATCCGGGTATGCTAGGAACTCCCACGCAGGATATAAATAGGCAGATGTGCGGTGGAGTCATGAGCAAGCAAATAATCCTTTGGCAATCAGAGACATAAGTCTGTGATCCCTGACTCAACAAATGTTGCTGAATGCACCCGGTATGGCAGGATGTGACCCATGCTTTGACGAAGAATTTGACAATGTCGCGCATGCTGTCAGTTTGTATGGTTTCGGCCTACCCTCCATACATTTTAATCAATTCATAAAAATATCTTCGCCCTTGATATGATCACGGACATGGCTTTGCAGCAACGGCTGCTTCATCAGTCGCAGGATATGCACATTCTGGATCGTTTCTGACATTGATATCTTAGAGGCGGGCCGCATCGGCTTCGTAGGACCGTTCAACCGCGAACATCAAGATTTACAGCCGGATGGAGGTCAGAGCCTGACAAATAACTCAGATAGAGCAAAATAGCTCTAGAGACATAAATGATGTTGCCGGGCTATCAGATCCTTGTGACTGCGGGTAAGATGATTCCATGGATGCTGAAAAATTTGGCTTCAGGCCCATCTGCGAGAGAAAGGACAGACATACGACTGTACATGGTAGGAGCCCATGTAAAATGACAAAATTCTGGGAGGTGAAGCAATCTGTGGGATTCCGGATACGGTGATAATGTATATGCCTATAGCTTAGCTGCAACGATGAATGCCATAGATCAACAATATCCAAAGACTGCGAATGGGAGAATCAGGGTGAAAAAGGTTCTGCTGGTATCCGGGTGAGCACCTCACATGAAGACCGTTACGATTGCAGATCGGACAAATCAACAAATACCAATGCTGTGCCCGGTGACAAGGATCCAGGATGCCCTTATGGCTGCGGATGGAAGGATCAGACAGATGATGAATCGGTACCCATCACCGCATTGGAAGATCCTTGATCTCTATGTGTCTCGCTAACTTGCACAACACTTACCAATAACATTTATTCATGACATGTAATGGCGATATTGGTGATACGGTAATGCTAAATCACACTTCCGGTGTGACCCGCTTCCAACACCTGCATGTATGGTCAAATGGAAGCGGTTCAGTTCATATGCAGAAGGGCGATACAGGGTGACGCAAACATTTGAAGATGTTGTTCAAATGCACCGTTTGCTGGGCATCCAGCGCCGCGTAATGGAGCCGCCAGATGCCATGATCGCAAATATTCAGGAGGGTCATCGGCAAGAGCACTAAGACAACACTGAATTTCAGGAATAGTGCGGAAGTGTATCATCAATTCATGTAAAGAATTGGCTAGTAGCACTGAGATATATTACCCTACAAACAATATTGAGGAGGACCGGATCTACAGACTGGATGCAAGTGCCGGAAGTCAGATATATAAGCATTTCTGGCTTCGTGTAACAATGGGCCTGTACTTCAACATCTGACCAGGAACCGGCATCCGGCATATGCATGTTCGGTATGCATCAAGCTCTATCACGGAGGCAGCAGTGATCGACAGAGATATCACCAAGACATTGCGGGCGCCTCCGAATATCTTATCGGTATCCGTCCCTCTACAAGGGAGATGTCTATGCATCATGACAAACTGAAAGAGCCCGACCATTCAGAGTTTGTCAAGCAAAGGAAAGTACGTGACAGAAGAGCTAGCCTATATATTGATTCACCCATCAACCTGCCAAAGAGATGATCGAGGCACAGTTATGGCAGGTAAAGTCTCTGCCACCTACACAATCCACTGGATTATACGTATTCACCTTCCGTAGCATTAACACAGAGGCCATCCGAGTCAGAGCTGGCTGTTTGGGAGGGAATAAGTACATCGTGCGGTGCTGTTACATGGATTACAGCGGGCGTTACCATCTAAGACAGGATAACAATTAGTATGGGTATTAGAAAGATGAGGACGCCCCCGCTGAAAATCAAACCTTGGATATTTGTAACTGCTGGGCAAAATTGCAAAGTCGGATAGATGAGTTCACAATTGAGGTTGCAACTCACATCTGGAGGGCTTTGACATTGATTGAGACATTATGGATATTGACTCCAGAAGCATGAACATCCGCCCTTGGTACCGAGCCAGTCCTGGAACACTTTGTCGGTCTAGACATCGCACTTGGGGATGGTCTCCCAAATGACACCTTTAAAACTATGAAAATGCTGAAATATGACAAAACCGTGATATTCCGTATCACCTTTCTCCGGAGAAACCACAAATTAAATGAACAAGAGCATGGGCGCATATTTTTTCGGTTGAAAGGCTTATGTACAACAATCCAACCGCTCGTACATGAACTGCTGTTACCTCCGTTCCACATGCTATTACTGCCCATCGCTTCGCCAGTGGTACATTGCAAATAGTCCATCCCAATTGTTGTGGACAGATTCTTGGGCACAAATGCATGGGACAATTGCGGAACCGCCCACTGTGGACATAATACTGTCATTCTCGGTCCACATTTTCGCATCCACAGACCACAAATTTCAAGAAATACCCACAACCTGATCCATGTCAATACAGACTTGTCAGAATTTCACAAAGTCAACTTTCCTCTACCGCATTCATCACATTCGTCACTACCATATCATTGCTTCAGGAAAGAATCATGACCGTACCTTCTGAGCAAGCTAACCACGCCTTGAACATTACCTTGGCCGCCCTGCAATTGCTCATGAAGCATTGCATCAAGGTAAAGGAGGGCGATCCCGAGGCCTTAAGGTTATCTGATGAGATCGCCCGGCGTGTGGTAAGTCTTTCTGATCTTGCCCTTATTTGTCTGGGTGAAACTCATGCATTGAACCCAGGCCAAGGACTTGAAGATGTATGGCGGGAACACCACATCATTCTCACCGCAGCTGCTTTCTTTCGCTGCTGTTGTGAGAGAGAACTCAAAGGGCGGTGCCTTCGAGAGTGTCCCCGACTGGACCTCCGTTACGGACGATGACCCACGCATCAAGAGCCACCCGCGCTTTGATAAGACCGTGGATTATCTTCCACCTTCCTCACTCGATGATCTTGTCATCGCCGCCACATCAACCGCCAATCCCCCTACCGTCCCCACAACGGCAACCACCGCCATCCCACCATCTACCTTGGCCTCGCCATCCAAACCATCCCTCACAGAGTCCGATATCCTGGCTGGGCCGGAACTGGAACAGAAAGGATCATCGGACCTTGGGAAGGAAAAGGCTGAGGACCCACCCATTCCTATTGACACTCCCACTGCTCCGCCGACAAAATACAACCTCTTCATGGCCGGTACCAAGAAGAGAAAGGCTGCAGAAGAAGACACGGATGCCGTTGTCGCGGTCGCCAAGACCAAGTTGCCTTCCCCATCTGAAGAGCCGGTCAAGAAAAGGAAGATCACATCAAAAACCATTTTCAAGACGGAATTGGGTTCAGATGAAGATATTGCTACACCATGGAAGGTAAGTCATTTCTGCATGGTGATGAGCACAAGCTGAAAAATTGAAAGCATTCTGTTCGCTATCACCCCCGGCAATGCGACAAATGTGCCAAATTGGACATTGCCTGCCTTGTCCTCCCCAACAAGAAATTTGGAAACATGCGCCTCACCTGCGCAAATTGTGACAGCATGAAGATCGCCTGTGCAATTGACGGTGTTGGTGTCCGGCAGAGGTTGCAAGCGAAGGCAGCAACAGCATCCTCCTCCCCGCTCCAACAACCACAGGCTTCAAAATCCCAAGCCGTCTCTAAAGCACCTGTGAAGCGTGTTTCTCGCTCGCAACGGCGCATTGTTCAACAGAAAGGTATGTCTTCCCGTCTCCCCGGAACGAGTTTAGCTCATGTAGCTTCTCTGGAAGAAGAGATAAAGCTTGCGCCCACCAACCTAGTGGAACCAGAGCCCACTGCAAGAGAAATCTTACAGGGCATCCAGGACCTCGGCAGGAGATTAGATCTCCTCGCTGCCACTGAGCGGGTGGACGCATTGGAGGTCAGAGTGGATTTGATGGAGACAAACCTGCTCAAGAGGTTGGACAGATTAGAGCAACGTCTCAATGAATCCGATGCCCGGTGGAAATCTTTATCCTAAGATAGATAGAAAATGTCGGATGACTTCAAATACAGACTAGCTACATAGAATGCATCCGATGGACCCCCTTCATGTACTATATATGCTCCGGAGGACTTTGTACAATTATATTATTGCATTTTCAGCCTGGTGCTGCCTGTGCATCTGTGTTCAATCTATTGAGTCCATGCAAGTTGTGTGTATAATGCAGCCTTTGTCATTCATCATTTCATTCGTGATAGTTACAAATAGGCATTGTCCTTCATGTCGATCCGATGTTCTGCAATATATGTTTGGAATATCGCTTGTTCGGTGAATGCACCTCTGATGATGGTTGAGCGTCGGTATAAATCTGGAGGCAACTTGACATCCGTGCAGCTCATCCCTCCGACATGTCAATATGTGTAAATTAATAGTACTACTTAATTTTGAATCAAAGTGCGTATATGAGCATGCACAAATTGTATATATATTTATTCTACCGAGAAGCGCATCGGGACTACATTTGATGCAGCTGCAAGCCGCGTAATGAGTACGCCCTCTTGTGTGGGTAAACGACCGGTATACCTGCCGGATGGCACCTGTGCATATTTATCCGATATCATCTCGCATCATGCACAAAGGGGTGGACTCGGAAGTACTTCTTGATGACCCAGCATGCTAGCAGGGAAGATATAATATGTAGTTATATGCAGGCGGCAGCCAGGTATTATACCGGCCACAAACTTGTGCTCCGGCATTCACATTCTCAATCCATCCTGTTGACCAAATAAAATGCTTGCTTGCTTACCGGAAACACAATTCTAACTGTGTGCTTTCTGTCCTCAATTCCGAGCTCAAATTTATCTGCATTGCTCTTAATGGTGGCTTTTGGGCCCAGTCACAAGCGACTATTGTGTCACTTCACAGAATATATTGTCTTTGAAGTGTCGGACACATCCGGGGAATCTGGAGGCTCATGATGCACTCATCTCCGGATGGGCACAGCAATCTGATGGCAACCGCCTCTGTGGTCGATCAGAACTCCTGTGGGCGGCAAAATGCGACGCTACCGTGGTTCCGGTATCCCAACGTAATAATCTGGTTTGCATTCCGAGTCAATTGTCTGAGCATGCAGTTTATACGATCAATTGGCCAAGCAAAAAGGCATCATGTGGGCGGAAGCGTGTTTACCAGTCACACACTTCGACACGGATGCATTCACCAAGAACATGCCTCACATGCCTAGCCAAGCTTTGTGAGGCGAAGTCCACTCTCCGGTCAATTTTTTTTATATCCGAGCACATGACACTGTTCATTGACTCATAAAATTCAAAAGAAAAACAACGCAATATGGTCCATTTACCACATTTGTGATCCACAATCCCCACAATTTAGCCAATGACATTGTTTGGGATATGTGGCATTGAGAATTGGGTCACAGCTTACGATTACTTGTGGCCACATTACCGGATTGAGCTTGTTATTGTAAATCACCACAACAATGCTTTTGAAGCTCCGACCGTATAATTAAACAGTGTCCGAGCTGACTTTATCTATCACCCCACTGCAACCAGTCATGACTGATCATTACCAAATGCTCCATAAGTCTGCTGCCAGTAAATTTTCCATCTGGGATGCAGCGGAAATATTCAAATACGCCACTTCCCAATTTACGGTCATTCACATCGAATTAATGAAAAGTAAAACCCAACACTCCAGCTCATATCAGCACACATTTGTGAGACACATCGTCTGGGAAGTGGAGGTGAGTTTATGCAATCGTCCCTGAAGAGATTTACTGATAGGCACCGGTAGCGCTTTGTATTTCCCTTTGTCAACATCTGCGCTGCCATGAATATCAACACGACACTGCCGGCATATCTGAATGAGGTTATCTTGCTCATCACATCTTTCCAGACCGAGCTGTACTACGATCACGGGAAACTGTTCGCTGCATTCAAGGCATGCCCGCATGAGTCGCCAACCCATCCAGTCGACATCAATCGGGTGGTCCGTGACTATCGCCATGCTTGGTGGAAGCACAGGTTCGACCTTGCGCCGTTTGATATGCCTCTTCGGATGTCTGTTGCTTTGGTGAAGGAGCTGGTGACCGACCACTTTGCTCAGCGGGTGAGTGATTTTTTTCCAGATTATGATGTGATCAGTATTTCTTACTACATTCATGCATTAGCCTAAAATGGCCAGCATGGTGCCGACACCAATTACGCACGCCTGCAGCGATGATCCGCTCCTGCAACAGCTGCAGGTTCTCCGGGCCGAAGTTTCCTATCTTGGTATGGAACTCGGCCGACTCCTTGTTACTAAGCTGGATGCTACAAGGGAGGCTGTGGCTGCATTAGATCATCTAGAGGATCCTGTAGATGAACTTCGCGAGGCAATGGTAGCCTCCCACATGGCAGTTGCAATGTTGCAAGGGCATTACAACAATGGCAGGCTGGGAGGACCTTCATCCGTTGAACCCTTTCCCAGTCTTTAATTACTTCCGCATTGATATTATGTACAGTAGTCGAGGAACAGCTTCTTCATTAGCATATTTTCATGTAGTGTCTCTCTTCCATATGTCAATATCCTGCCAAGCATAATCCCATCCGGTTATATGAGACATGCGTGGGTTTGATCAATTACGTTCATAAAGTTGCATCTCGGCTCGCTGTGTTACATCACCAAGATGGGTGCCGCATGGCCAATTGTATTTAAGATGCATGTTTTCTTGAACAAGACCTGCGTATCTCCCATTCCATAATGATATCGCATGAGTACTGGGAATCCTACCATGAACAGCTTGGTGCCCTTGACCTCGCCTGTCATCCGACATCATTCATCCCCCGGGATTGGGCCCTTAATGTCGCCGATATAGCAAGTGAATGGGTCGAGCAGCAGTTTGCAGCTCATATAGCAGGCAGACCGTTGGTGCCCGCGCCGCCCAAACTTGACCCGGAAACTACGGTTGCTTGTGGACAGTTGGCCTCCGTGCTGGCAGAGGCCTATCAACACCCCGGTAGGCTAAACCGTACATGTTTGTTGTCAACGGATTGTAATGTTTGTAGTAAAACTGGATATCGACGTCATCCGGTACAACGAGGCGTTGGCCAAACGGGAGTCGGGACTGAATGATTCTCATGAAGAAGCATTATTGGCAAAGTTCCCCCCTGCTGAGTGCCTGGTGTTGGAACGCCCGTCGGTGGTGATCGATGCCGGCTATCAGATAATACTCTGGTACCTTCTGGGTGCGCTTAACTGGTCAGTGAAGGTCAGTGCGGGATTGCACTGAAGCTGCATCATGCTAACGGGGAGGAGGTAGTGTGATATGTACACCGCCACAATCGGGATGGGCAATCTATTGAAACAGAGCATCACCAGTGGGAAGACGTCCACGGGACAGGCGAGTAAATGGAGAACCCACTCAACCAATTTTTATGCCTCCCAAGAGCCACAGTTAAAGCCCGGGTGCATCAATATATCGCCTTGCTGGTTTCAACAGGGACACGAGGTCTGTTTGAATTTTCTGTACTCAGGAAATGTTTAACATCAAATAGTGTCATGGGCCCCCACCTGTGAACCCGGAAGATGGCTTTATGCCCAAAGTCTCCGCTACCTTGAAGGGCGACAGGAGCCTGTCAGTCATCAGAGATATGCAACGTCCGGGTCTCGTATCTTCGGCCGCCCTTTGTGTAATGCACCCGCAGTTATACCGTGCATCTATATCCACTCATATAGAGCTTGGGCATTGGGCGGCCAAGCAAGGACTGGATGATATGTGCAGGTTCCTTCAACATTGGACATCCGTCTACACGGGAGCGGCAATCATGTGTAACAGGAAGTCGCCGAGCCATCGAGATCCGAAATGCCCCCCGGAAGGTTTCAATATCCTTACCTGCATAGGCGGCTATGGCCATGGCGTAATGCAATTGACCAACTTGGGCATCGAGCTCGCTTATGATCCGGGTGTTATGGTTAGCTATTCTGGCCGGCTCGTGAGGCACGGCGTTCAAGTTGCCGAGGGAGACAGAATCGTCTGGGCTTGGTTTATGCGCGATAGCGTGCATAATTATGCTCGGACCCCGCGTACAGAGTATGCAAAATAGAATCTTGCGGATTTTGCGATATACCACCTAGCCCAATACAATCAGGCAGATTTCATTCGGTACCGCGTGTTGTAGTTCATTTTCGGTTGATGTTGCCTTCAAACAGACTGACAATGTGGCTCATATGTCATTTTTCGTTGCATCTTCTTGATTCTTAATGCACCATCGGTCATATCCAAGAAATAGATCGTCATATGCAGATGGACATAATAATACTTCATGTAATTTTATAGGGCTGTCTTTGTTTTCCTTAGTCAAATTTTCACTTAGATATGACATTTATTTGACTTTCATGACACATTCGGTAGATGATCCTCCGATTGCATTTGCTGGTTCACTACAAGAGGATGTTCTACCGGCCAGAGTACCAACATGTACATCGATGTCCGGACGGGGATAATTATCAAACTCTTCGGAAGCTGACAGAATGCATGTCCATAGTTTCGGATGTGTCGCTCATGAGGATCCGGTGCGAAGTACTATCTTGTCAACTTTTGGTGCACTACCTTGGAAATTCAGCTGTCCAGATTTGTGATACGTTCTGACAAGCTCCGCCAATACATACTTGGTAAGCAATCAGTTCAATGCTGGCACGTTTATCCCAGTGGAAATTCGCTTGACCATATCATTCAGAGAGCCAATAACGCACCCTTGTCTCTTCCTTCCGGAAATTCCTGTCATGGGCTGCAGAGTCTATACCCGCCGGATTTAAATTTTGTCTGACGCTGCCTTGGACGGTGGGAGCATGATTGAGTTCAGGATTCATATGCAAACATCATCGAACATATGTTTACCAAGATAGTTCCGGTGTGAACTTTGTCCTCGTCAGTTGATTGGAACTTCTTCCTCCTCTTCCGACTTGGGTCCATCTGCGATACTTGCCGACCTGCGGCGCTGCATTTCCGGGTTTTTTATTGGCGCCCGCCACAAAGATATTACGTTTGAAGGTGAGGTGGGGCAGAGTTTGCGCACGCGCAGCCGTTGGGTCTGGTGCTGGTGATACAAGCTCTGGTTCCGTCTCCCTCGCACCAATCGGATTGTCGAGGGATTTACCGGATGGGAAAGCCGATGGCATAACGCAGTCCATTGCTGATAGGACAGCGGTCACAGATGCTGCATTTTGAGGATCCAAGTCAGTAGGGAATCGTTGTACAGGAAAATGTCTTACAGCGGCCGGGTGTTACTTGAACCCATCGGTTGTGGGCATTCCGACCACTGTGGAGAGTCAGATATGTGGACCGGTTGTAAGGCTGTTGTAGAGAACAACCACGGCTACCATAGGCTAAACCCAGTGGATCTACGTCACGAATGGTCAATCCACCATTGCTTCTGGAAGATCCTGTATGGCTGTCCGGGTATCCGACGCACCATTTATGGGTGAGAAGCGGATTAAGGCCTACTGTGCCTATGGAAATTTCGTCATAGACTGTTTTACCCCTTTCCGGGTATCCGATGCACCATTCATGGGTGAGAAGTGGATTAAGGCTTACTGTGCCTAGAACATCTCGTCATACACCATTTTACCCCTTTCCGGGTATCCGATGCACCATTTATGGGTGAGAAGTGGATTAAGGCTTGTTGCGGTGCCTGCAAGATAAACTACCTCTGATTGCGACAACAGATGCACCGCAACAGGCCTTAATCCACTTCTCACCCATAAATGGTGCATCGGATACCCGGAAAGGGACGAAAATTCCCAGGCATGGTGTATTCTCACAGAAAATCAAATTCCCGGTCACGGGGTGTTGCTGCTTGGCTTTGTAAGTGCATTGTTGCTGCAGCAGTGAGCGCTCACTGCAGTCACCACTCGAGATGCCATCACTCTTGTTGTCAACGTCAGATGTCTGGACCGCTCCGCCTGAAACTCAACTGTATTGTCTTGGGTGATAATCCTCACCGTATTTTCCCGGTCGACATTGAGTGGACGGAGATTGTTGGTGACCTCAAAGAGGTCATCAAAGACAAGAAAAGGCCAGAGTTTGACCATATTGCCACTGACCGTCTTGAGCTATGGAAGGTGAGTGATCTGATGCCTAGGATTGGATGTTGATAATCTGATATTTTGGAAGGTCGACCTGCCCATCGACGAGATGATTGAGCACAATCTCAACAATCTTACACTGGACCCAATGAAATCGCTGAAGGTTCAACGATACAGCGAGGCACAAACAATGCTCCTGACTGTATCTATAATTGTTGTAAGGTCGTGCGTTGCCTAGTCTGCTATACTTGAGACGACAAGTGCATTCGACCCTAAAGGGGAAGCGAGTGCAGCAAGGATCTAGAGGTATGCGCTGAAAGCGCTACTGGTTGGCCAATGCGAAGCGCGGGAAAGCGCAGGTGCGCGCGAGGCGCAAGAATGCGCGAAGTGCGGGAATGCGCACGTGTGTATGCGGAAACAAGAGAGAGTAAGAGTGAGTTTGCTTAGGTGATGATATGATGTAAGACAAGAGAAGGGAGATGCAAGGTGTAAACAAATAGATTTCTACTATGTTCTGCTAGGTAAATAGTGGGTAGTAACCAGTAAGTCCTCTGTCGTTCTGGTGGGAGAGTAAGTGAGTAAGTAAGTATGTACTGCTGGCGCTTAAGTATGGCGCCTAAGCGCTGTCATGCGGAGCCAAAGCGCTACCGAGTAAGGTATGTAAAGATATATGTAAGTAAGGGTCCATGATAAAAATAAAGATGGAACGATATGCAAATGTGAGAAATGGAAATATACGCACTAGGGAACTTGGTGGACAGTGGATGGATGCTTCTGGATGGCTGGCGCTATAGGGCGCTACAGCGCGGGAAAGCGCGCGCGCATATACATCGTGAAGCGCGGGAAAGGTACGCCTCATATAGAGATAGCTGCAGGTAGCACACAGAGTGATGCTACAAGTTCGTGCCATGTACTCCCCAGTGAAAACTGCCATATTGCACAATGAGAGGCATGAGTCTCTACATCGCTATCACCTGTGGATGAAATCGTTGAGATTTTTCCCGATGCTCCTCCACGCAAGTATCTGCATATTATCATCCAATGCCCGCCTGCTGGTGAGTTGTCCTTCGATATTGCCACCCTTTCCTCAATGATCGTGGTCTGACTTAGTGTCTTCCGGACCGCTCCACCTGAAACTTAACTGCATTGTCTTCGGCGATGATTCTCGCCATATTTTCCCAGTCGACGTTGAGTGGACGAAGACTGTCGGTGACCTCAAAAATGTTATCAAGGTCGCCAAGAAGCCAGAGTTTGACCATGTTGACGCCGACCGTCTTGAGCTATGGAAGGTGAGTGATCTGATGCCTAAGGTTGAATGTTAATAATCTGATATTTTGGAAGGTCAAGATCAATTTGAATGATATAGACTTACGGAACACAATCATAGATGGAGGCGTCGAGCTGCACCTGTTAACTGAGCTGTCTGATGTGTTTGCGGATGGAATAGAGCGCGGATGTATTCATATCGTCGTAAAACATCCTGCCATTGCACAACACATTCCAGCTGTTGATCGGCGAATCACTTATCTCAAGAAGGGCGCGGGTAGTCCGTCGGCTGGGGCAAAACCATCCGCATTCTCTATGAAGCAGGACCAGCAAGAGTACCTTTGCAATCGTCCTCACAGAGCCGCGGACCCTGTTCCCATTACTCTTCTCGAGCCTATCTTCGCCGAGTTCATGGATGATTGTCAAAAGTATGAACCAACTGTCCATGATAACGACTTTGTTTTGCAACTTTTGGAAAAGATGGCCTCCTTCTATCCCAATGAGCTCGCGCGGATGAATACATTCCGGCAAGTGCTCCAGGACTACGGTATTATACTCAATGCTTCTATGGTTGGCTCGACCGGATGTACGACAGACAGACATATTTTGTCTACCAACGGACAGTTTGTGCTGATGATAATTGAGGGGAAGAACGAGATTGGAAGTGGCACTGCCGAACCGTTCATGGAGGCGATGTTGTACTACCGCAAGTTTATGGAAGACTCGAAGATTGAGATGGCGAGGCTCCGGTCTTTCATTCCATGCATCCATATCATTGTCTTCGGTTAGTTCATTTCACCAGATTAATTGCTAAAGCTTTTTATTGATCACAACTAGGGGCATGCATCGGCTTTTCAGGCTCTGTTTTCACTGAAAAAGTCCAGTCCGATGTCCTGGTCCCTATCATTCCTCTGTTTTGGCATTCAACAGACCTCCACATGCAAGTGATGGCAGCTCGTACTTTCGGGGCTCTCAAAATTGCCGTCGAGAAACTTACCAAACTATACTCCCATCCAATCCCGTCCCTCAAACCCGAAGATCCATATCTTAAATGTCCTTACCCTCGGAGTTATACCAATTCCGCCAGTTTCATTCAGGAATTCTCGTATGATGAGACTCAAATCCTCAGGGATCGACTTATTTTCTTCGGGGAAACCATCGGCGATGCGGCTGGGAGCAAGATATGCATGAAGTTTGTCAGGCACTATTCCCCTCAGGCTCACGAATTCTGTGCCAGCAAGGGGAACACCCCCAAACTTATCGCCTACAATTCTCTACCCGGCGGCTGGAATCTGGTGGTTATGGATGCCCTTGATATTGATAATGATTGCTTTCCGCAACGACCTGGCTCATATCGACTGCTCAGTGAGATAAGTGTTTTGGACCGTCAGCCGCTGAAGGAGACCATCACCTCTCTCATCCGGGAGTTACACAATCACAATGACGGCTACGTTCATGGCGACCTTCGAGATACCAATTTTGTTGTGCAGGACGACAAACACTTCATGCTGCTCGATTTCGATTGGGCCGGACGGATATTCAATGGCCTGACGGTGCGTGGGATGGGCAGAAGATTGTGGCGGAGCATGACTTGGATATGCTGAATTATCTATTTCATCCTGAGCAAGATGTTCGGGAGCCAGCTGCAAAGCGCCGCCATATATTTAGTGAAGGGTCGCTGATGGTCATTTGATTCATTTATAATTTGTTGCATCACCAATTTGGTGAATACCAGTCTGTTTTTTCCATCATAAAGCTATCATACAATGACTTCGGGAGAATGGCGACATAGATTAGTATCTGTTGTGTTGTAGCTAGCCAATTCGATTATTGCCGATGACACAAGCCTTCTCACAAGTCTCGGTGAGGATTCTACCGTACATAGATGGAATACATGACCTCATCCTCAGCGGAGGCAGCGATAAAATGATTTCAGAGTGGACAGTACCTCACAGCCGTACAGGATCTTCCGGAAGCAATGGTAGATAGGGCCTTTGCCGATGTAGATCCAAAGGGTTTAGCCTATGGTAGCCGTGGTGGTTCTATACAATAGTCCTACACTCAGTTCACACATATGACTCTCCACAGTTGTCGGAATGCCCACAACCGACGGGTTCATATAGAACCCGGCCGCTGTCAGACATTTCCCCAGCGAGCACTCCCATGGAATATGTCGGATGGTCCATCCGTAGCCCCTTTCCAGCATGCAACATACATGCTGCACACATCCATCACCATTCTCGGGAATACACACAAGTTGAGTCCACCCGTCGCCTTTGCCGAGACCAAATCTACGGACTCCACCATTCTCAGCAATATAAGACGAGTGCTGGGCCCATCCATCGCCCTTTCCAATTCCACAATCATGGGTGGAAGGGTCTATTCCTGAGTCCCTTCCAAGCACATTCAGCCCATCTGCCACCATTTTCGCGAACAAATAAGCATGTTCTGGGCCCATCCATAGCCTTCCCCAAGACTCCACCCGAAGTTATTATACCCATGGGGGACTGGGCCCATCCGTTGCCTTTTCCAAGTCCAAACACAGTGGACTGGGCCCATCCATCACTGTTTCCGAGACCACATCTGCATATGCACTGGGCCAATTTGCCTTTTCTGAGATCAAATCCACAGTGGGCCCATCCGTCATTATTTTCAAGATTACATGCAATCCGCTGGGCCTATCCTCGCACATTTTGGGCCCATCCGTTGCCCTTTTTCCCGAGCATGCCTACAAGCCGGGCCCACCCATATATATGCATACATGCGGGCTGGGCCCATCTGTCACAATTTTCGCAAATCCGCCTGGCCCATTCTCACCCTCAAGCATGCAGGCCCACCCAGTCACACATTTTGGGCCCACTCATCTCTATGGACCTCACACCTCAGCCCAACCACCAGCGTCGGTGTGGAAGTTGGGATCAGTAATCTGCACTGGCTGCTCAGGGCGCAGATGCTCCAGCCACTCCCATTCGGCGGACCGATTTGATCGCATCTTATCTACCATATCGGATAAGTTGATCTGAGTCGTGTCCGAATGATACCAGATCTCTGTTGTGGTATAAATTCGGTAGCTGAACCAACCAACTGTGCATGCAAGTCAATACAAAGCGATGTTGTGGCGGCCAGAGCATCCAAACTGGCATTGATGTCTGTATCCGGAAGATCCGCCATCAAGGACCGGATGTGCGACCAACATGATTGCACACACAAGGGAATGCAACTGTTCAGATGTGCAATATGTCTGGGACACCATACCTATGCGAATCCGGTATTCACAGCATTGGTCTGGTGCCGTCCGCTGGGCTCAGGTGCCAGCCTACCCATAATTAACGGAGGACGTGCCTGTCAGCCAGTCTCGGATACAAAGTTGGTGAGGACCCTTGGGTATGGTCATGTTCACATCTGGGCCCATCTGCCAATACCGGGTACAACTACCTGCCCATCCGCTGGTCTCGGGTACGTCGGCCCAACCATCATTGATGAGGACCTTGGAATGGTTGGATCCATATCTGGGCCCATCCGCCTGTACCGGGTATAAGGGGCTGTCATTCCCTGTCCAAGAATACTTTTGGGCCCAGCCAGTACCCCAGCAGCACACATCCTGGCCCAATATATTAATGCATGCTTCTTCTGTATCCCTCCCGGTCCTTCCATGGCTGGCCCACTGGTCTATTGACTATTACCCCAGCCTACAAATAATTCATAATTATACTGTATGATGTTGGCCCACCCGTCACTACAAGGATTGCCTTCATGGCTGGCCTGCCCGCCCTATCTCTGGTCCTTCCATGGCTGGCCCACTGGTCTATTGACTATTACCCCAGCCTACAAATAATTCATAATTATACTGTATGATGTTGGCCCACCCGTCACTACCGAGGATTGCCTTCATGCTGGCCCGCCCACCCTATCTCCGGTCCTTCCATGGCTGGCCCACTGGTCTATTGACCATTACCCCAGCCTACAAATAATACTGCATGATGTTGGCCCACCCGTCACCACCGAGGATTGCCTTCATGGCTGGCCCGCCCGCCCTATCTGCGTATGGGCCGACCTAGGATGGCCCGTCTAACTGGGGAGATTCTCAACATTTGGCTGTCCGTCTAAGTCAGAAATAAAGTACTGAATTATGTGAGTAGAGAAGTATCTTCAAGAACACAGAGACTTTTTCATGATTCCTTGCGTATTATCCTGGAACCCCTAAAAATAGCAGGTGCTGAAGGAGTGGAGATTACAGGTGGAGATGGATGTGTACGCCTGGTTTTTCCTGTCCTTGCCTGCTATGTTGCAGACTACCCTGAGCAATGTCTGGTGACTTGTTCAAAGTATGGTACCTGTCCCAAATGTCAAGCTAGAGCAGATGAGCTAGCAAAGCTCAGTCAGTCAGCTGTATGGACACAGACTTGGACCATGGGCATTATTGAGGAAGCAAAATCATCAACCAATACCAGCTCTGCATTCAAGACTATATGCATGGAAGCAGGAGTCGGAGGAGGGGTCTTTCTACCCTTCTGGCATGGGTTTCCTCACTGCGATATTCATCATTCTATAACACCTGATGTGTTACATCAACTCTATCAAGGTGTATTCAAACACATGGTAGAATGGCTTGAGAGTCTCTTGAATGAAGAAGAACTGGACACCTGTATCAGATCTCTTCCCCCATGTTATGGTTTATGTCACTTCAAGAATGGATGGTCCTCCTTGGGTCAGATTGGAGGAAAGGACCGCAAACATATGGCACACATTTTGTTGGGCTGTATGATAGGCAAAGTCCCTAGAGATGTGATCATCAGCTACAGGTCATTACTTGACTTTATCTATCTGGCTCAATATCCTTCACATGACGATGATACACTGGCATATATGGAAAAGGCCCTCAAGGATTTTCACCGTCACAAAAATATTCTCTTCAATCTTGGAGTTAGAGAACATCTGGACATCCCAAAAATCCACTCTTTTCTTTATTATGTCGACTCTATTACATGGTTTGGCACAATGGACAACTACAACACAGAAATGATGGAGCGTTTTCACATTGACTTTTGTAAAGAGGGATGGTATGCATCAAATCACCGCAATGAGATGCCTCAGATGATATCCTGGCTAAGTAGAAGGGAAAAGGTGATTTTTTAAAAGAATATATTGATGATCTTTACTTAACATCTATATCATAGGCATCTTCATTCAAGACCTATCTTAAAATGACGGTGGAAAATGAGGAAGAAGATTTCTCTTACTCTAGATTCAAAGATCAAAGCATTCTCATCGCCAAATACCCAGCCAGAAAGAACCAGGACATTCAAGAAATAATGGAGAGACAAACCTGCCCTGGCTTTCAACGCAATCTGACCTGCTTCATCAATTCCTTCAATAATAACAATATTGCTGGTGGACAACTTAGCAATGCTTCCCTTCCATTCAGCTCTGTGGATGTTTATCATGGTTTCAGATTCAGTCTGAATGATTTAGGCAATGAAGTTGATTTGGACCTAGGAAATCAGGAGATAGATAGCGCCAAGGCTAAGACCAGTTAGATTCACTTCCAATGAACCCATTCAGAAGTGAGTACTCAAGGTACATTTATCTGCATCTTTTTCAGCTCTTTCAATAGCATGGTCAGTGTTGATTTTTTATCCTACTCTTATTGAAAAAGACACAGACTTCCTGCTGGGGCTCTTGACTTCAAGACCTGTTTATCTAATAATTTCCCTGAAAAAGTGCCGATGGAAGACCACCACAGTGGGTCCATGAGTGAAAACTGACAATGAAAGGATCACACAGTGTATTTTTGACACAGAGTTCAATATATGACCAAAGTCTTGATGCGAACTCGGAAGGATAAGTACAATAACAATATAATTCTTTCTAAAGGTCTTGACTTGGTTGAAGAAGAAAAAGAGCAGACAGATTACACATCAAACTTTCAAGTTTGATCCTAATAACCTGGGGAATTAGTAAAAATACAAACCTATTAAGGCTGAGATTCTTTAATGTGCTTATTCAAGTGATTGCCAGAGTCAAAATATATTTCTCTTGAACTAAGCAGGTTTGTAATCTGTATAATGATGTGTATTTTGCATTAACTCATGATTCATCACATTCCACCATTTTGGATTTCATAGAATAAAAACATTGTGATTGGCGGGTTTCAAACCTGCACAGTTGAAGAGAAACAGATTTTAAATCTGGTGACAACTTGACCAAGACCAATGAAGATCAATCTCTGAGATGCTGTCTATGAGCAAATATTCAAGACATGTGCTCACAGAAAAAATGTGACATCCCACAAGTTTCAAACTCATTGCACTCCAATGAAAACAGATTTTGATTCTGTGATCACAGCCACTTAGCTAAACACAACTGTGATCAGCTTGCAAGCAAACCGACCATGAGCAGATTTCAAGGTGTGTTTTCATAGAAAATGAATTTTATCACTGGCATGTTTCAAACCTGCACAGCCCAAGAGAAACAGATTTTGACTCTAATGATCACTTGGCAAATTCATCTTTAGCAGGTTTTGAACCCACACAGACAGATTTAGATTCTGTTGTATCAACTTCTTGGCTAAGACCAGTTAGATGTGCTCCCAATGAACCCATTCAGAAGCGACTCGCATACTTTTGCCTATTGGCTGCACTTCTGACTTGCTTCCACGTGCTGAGAACACAATTAAAATTACTTACATAGCACCATGTATCTTTTGACTCTGAACAATCTTTCCACCACCATCTTGCATATTGTGGGACTCAAAGTCTAAAATACGCTATAACTGCTATTTGACACTGAGCACTCGAAAGCACCTAAGCGCAGAATGTCGCACTGTTGTCTAAATACTTCTGCTTTATCTCAGAGCTTCCTCTGGTCATTAGAATCAAACTGGAAAGTTTGATGTCTAATCTGCTCTTTTTCTTCAATCAAGTCGAGATCTTTGGAGAGAATTAAATTGTTCTTGTACTTGTCATTCCGAGTTTGCATCAAGACTTTGGTCATACATTGAACTTTTGTGCCTTGAGGGTTCACTTCTGAATGAGTTCATTGGAAGTGCATCTCACTGGTCTTAGCCAAGCAGTCAATACAACAGAATCTAAATCTGTCTGTGTGGGTTCAAAACCTACCAAATAGTGATCACCAGAGTCAAAATCTGTTTCTCTTGGACTGTGCAGCTTTAAAACCTGCCAAGGATAATTTTCATTTTCTATAAAAATGCGCCTTGATATATTCTCATGGTTGGTTTGCTTAAAAGCTCATCAGAGTTGTGTTTGGCCAAGTGGTTGTCATAACAGAATCAAAATCTGTTTCCACTGGAATGTAACACGTTTGAAACCTGTTGAATGTCGCATTTTTTTCTATTAGAACATGCCTTGAATATTTGCTCATAGACAGCAACCCAGACATTGATCTTCATTGGTCTTAGTCAAGTTGTCATCTGAGTCAAAATCTGCCAATGATGACATTTTTATTCCATGAAATCACACCTTGACATTTTCTCATGGATGATATATGTTATTTTTTTATTTTTTATTTTTTTCCTGTTAGAACATGCCTCGACATGGACTCGTGTGCACTTTCCTGAGTGCACCATCTCACTGGTGGTGTGATTTCATAAAATAAAAATGTTATCATTGGCAGGTTTCAAACCTGCGCAGTCCAAGAGGAACAGATTTTGACTCTGATGTTCACTTGCAATTTCATCTTTAGCAGGTTTTGAACCCACACAGACAGATTTAGATTCTGTTGTATCGACTGGTTGACTAAGACCAGTTGAATGCACTTCCAATGAACTCATTCAAAAGTGAATCCTCAAGGCAGTTCTTTCAATAGTATGGTCGCCATGATTGATTCTTTTATTCTACTCTTATTGCAAAAGACATCAGAATTCTTTTGGGGCTCTTGACTTCAAGACCTGTTTATCTAGCAATTGCTCTGAAAAAGTGCTGATGACAGACCACCATGGTCGGCCAATGATGTTTGTGATGTCTTGGGATTAACAGCTAGGTCATGAGTGAGGACGGACAATGGAAGGATCACATGTGATTGGACTCAAGAGGGATGTTAGAACTGATAAAATGCAGATAAATGTACCTTGAGGATTTGGTTCTGAATGGGCTCATTGGGAGTGCATCTAAGTGGTCTTAGCCAAGCAGTTGATACAACAGAATCTAAATCTGTCTGTGTGGGTTCAAAACCTGCTAAAGATGAAATTGCAAGTGAACATCAGAGTCAAAATCTGTTCCTCTTGGACTGCGCAGGTTTGAAACCTGCCAATGATCACATAACTCCAGAATATTTCGATCCTAGGATATCCGACCGTCCGACCCTTTCCAACATCCGCCCCAGATATGACTCAGCGTGCCAGCCACCATCATCTACAAACAAACAACACCAAGCACGCCACCTTGAACTTTACATCACTCTTTCCCCGCCCCCCGCCCTTTGTGTCTCTTTCCCCGCCCTCGCCGGCGCCCTCTGTGTCATGGTCAATGTTGAAGATGAGCCAGTAGGGAGCTGATGCGTTGATGATGCAGTAACTGCAGCACCTCAAGGCCTCAAGGGCTGATGGTATTGGCATAGTCATTGAATGCGGTGCAGGGAGGTAAGCATGTGGCGGCGCTGTTCAGTAGCGGCTTGGCCAAATGTAGTAATATCCCCGACGTGCGCAGAGGTGAGGACGTGTGGGAAACAGTGAGCTTAATACATAATTATATTTTAACATTGAATGTAGTATATTATGTATGCATGGGAACGATGATTATTATACTGGCATGGATGCAGTCGGATGGTCGGATATCCCAGGATCGAGATGTCCTCCATAACTCAATACTTTATTTCCAAGTTAGACAGACAGCCAAAGGTTGAGAATTTGCCCAGCTGGGCGGGCCATCTGAGGTGGGCCCAATATGCAGGCAAGTTGGGTGGGCCAACTATGAAGGAATTCCTGGTAGTGATGGGTGGGCCATTAGTATATGAATGATGTGGATATAACATACAGGTAAGGGGGTGGGCTGGTGTTTTATCTGAATTTGGTAGGGGTCACGGATACACCTGCTGAGCTAGTTGTTTTCGGCCCACCAGATATGCATATGATCCCGGCCGGAGAGGCAACATATGGTTCCATTTATTGTGCAGCCCAGATGCATTTGATCTCGGCAGTGTGTATGGGAAGGCCCAGCTAGTTATTGTTCGGCCCAGCACATATGCTGTGTAGTCTTGGATGGGCTTACGGATGGGCCCGGCTGGTTATTTTTGGCCCAAGAGAATATGTGTTTGGTCTCGGAAGGGCCGACTAATAAGAATATACAGCATGGACTGTGCATTTGATCTCGGAAGGGCCAGCGAGTTATTGTTTCTGGCCCATGATGGGCATACATGATCTCGGATGGGCCCGGCTGGTCATTTTTGGCCCAAGAGGATGTGTTTGGTCTCGGAAGGGCCGACTTATAAGAATATGCGGCATGGACTGTGCATTTGATCTCGGAAGGGCCAGCGAGTTGTTGTTTCTGGCCTATAATAGGCATATATGATCTCGGAAGAGCCGACAGTTGGGCCCAGCGGGATGTTCTTCATACATGTGCAAGTGACCTCGGAGGGGCTTCCTGACAGGCCCAGCTGGGTATTTCTTCGGCCCAATGCTGATGTTTCATCTCATGAGTCAGGGAAGGGCTTGGCTAGGGATTTCGGCCCAGTCCATGCACATTTAGTCTCAGAGACTAGTTATTTTTCAACTGAGGGCGTACACAAGGGGCCGGTGAGAGGGCGAGCATCTATGGATTTCCAGTAGTTATGTTGGAATGAGTGTCGGATAGGCCCAGTAAATTAGTGTTTGGTCTAGAGCACCGAAAGGGCCTACTGATATTCCCAGCAAGTCAATTGTCACTACAGTTCCAGGAAGGTCTGGCAAGTGATTCTTCAGCCTGTAGAGTATCTTACGGATCGGCCTAAAGAGTGAAGCATTTGGTCTTGGAAAGGCTTGTGAGTGCCCGGTACATGTGTATATGATTTCAGAACGGCCGATAGATATTACGACGACATAGGATTTGGTCTCCGAAGGTGGTATAGTGAAAGTTTAGTCAATAGCGATGCGTCTCGGAAAGAGTTGAGAGTAGGAATACATGAAGATTTCGGACCCAAACGAGTTGCACAACAATGCAAATCCGATGGCCAGGTGATTGGATATGGGATGAAAGCAATATATTAATGTATATCGGTTGGCCTCTCAGGAAAATATAATTGACCTATTTTGCTGATGGCATCAATATGGTGAAGTAATGTGGCTGAATGGATCCGGTTGTCCCACAAGTTGAGGGCGACATGAACATGCAATTTTCTGAATGAATATGCCAGCAATTCTCCCACATGAACACATACAGGCTGGCCATGCTATGCATATGGGTCAGAATTTGCACCATCTTGTATAAGAAGATCGGACATCCGATCAGCTTGTGACGCCTGGTTCCGGAAGATTGTATGATAATAGGCAGTCATGTATGTACTTTGAAGTATGTGTTTAGTTCAGCATCCATAGCCATTAGGTAGCCTCATGTCTCACAATGGAAACAAGTAACTAAATATGGGATAAAAATCTTTACGAATGTTGATCCAGATCTGATGTTGATACACATGTTGGAGGGATGCATGGTGCATGTAGCATCGGCAATGATACACCTACAAACGCATGAACTATCTACACCGGATTGTTATGCCATTGGCTGTCACAGCTTAATGTGAGCATCATGAAGTAAAGCATTTCCTCACCAGGGAAGACAACATATTGAGGAAAACAACAATACAGTTCATATCTACAAATTACATAAACCGAGATTTGAACTACAAGGGACAGTGACCGGGAACAGTATAGTAAGTAAAGGAGTAGCTAAAAGTACAATATATATGGTATTGATGACCTGCACAGAAGATCCGGGTATTGTGACACGAAGAGTCCCAGAAACTAGTTGGTTCTATGAGTACTGGAGGTGCCGACATCGCTCTCTACCTGGCATCCGGGGCATTGAGCCGTTGCTCCAGTGTGTTCAACCGCTGGTGGAGGATATTCTCCACCGAATGCACTCTTATCTCCAAGGTGTCCACACGCTCATTAGTGGCCAGGAGATCTAATCTCTTGCTGAGGCCCCGGATGCCCTGCAAGATGTCTCTTGCAGTTGGCTCAGGATCGGCGCGGTTGGTCGGCACAAGCTGATCGCCCTGTTCCGGCCATTGACTTGTGCCAATGATTGGTATGGGCGCATCAGCCGGCAGGCTAGGCTGTTGCTCTGGCTCTAAGAGTCATTCAGATCAGTTTGAGTTCTTCCAACGTGACTCCAAACTCACCTTCAACTATGTTGAGTTTAACACGAGGGGGTTGGGCAAGTATTCTCTTAGCCGGGGTCTTGGAGATCGCACGGGACTTCTGAATGCGCGTTCTGGAATGTCCGGCCGGCTTTGATGTAGCTGCAGCCGCCTTCACTTGCATTCTCTGCCTGACACCGACACCGTCGATCGCACAGGCAATCTTCATTTGGTCGCAATTCACGCACACAAGTTGCGTGCATCCGAACTTTTTGTCCGGAAGGACAATGCAGGGTATGTCCAATTTCGTGCACTTGTTGCACTGCCGAGGATGGTAACAAACAGAATGCTTGAAATATGTTAGCTGTGGACTCCTGTGTATGTACTGACGGACTTACCTGGCACAGGGTAGCGATATGAGCATCCGAGCCCCATTCTGCAGGCTTTGAGATGTGTTAGCATATCAGCAATATGGATAAGTGCGGATCACATACCCGAGTTTCTGCATCCTGGAAACCCTTGTCATCGCCTAGCAGCACAACCTTGTCAGTAGTGACGGTCGGTAATGGCTGGAGCAGTAAGCCATTTGATACATGAACCAAGATCAACAGACATACCTTTGGCTTCACATCAATGATTCCTGTTGGCCTCTTTTCGACATTCTGACTCAACTTCTTCTTCTTTTTCATCGGCTCTTGGGATGGGGAAGGCAACTTGGGGGTGACAACCACAACGGCCCCATCAGTATCCTCATCTTCAGCCTTTCTCTTTCTGCTATTGCCGACCTGCAAAACGCCCTTCTCCGGTTTCTTCTTAGTTTTGTCCACATAAAGGTGGTAGAATCTTGCAGGTGGACCTGCTGGACGCCCGAGAAGAGGCAGGTTCTTTTGCGCTCGCGGCCGTGACGATCGTTTCGGTTCCGCTACTGGCTTGGCAATGAGATCCAGGTCCGTGCGGGATGGATTCTTGCATGCTCATAAGCGCGAAGATCGTTTTGGTTCTGCTACCGGCTTGGTGATGAGATCCGGGTCCATACGGCATGGCATGGATGGTAGAGCAGAGGGCGTTAATGGCGGGACAATGAGAGTTGAAGTTGTTGTGGGAATGGTGGTGGGAATGGTGCTCGATGTTGCAACTGCGGGGACATCAAGCACAGAGGGTGGGTGATAGACCATGGTCTTCTCAGATTGTGGGTGGTCCTTGATCCATGGGTCGTCGTCAGCAACAGAGGTCCAGTCGGGGACACTCTGAAAGGCGCCACCCCTAGAGTGCTGTCTCACAACGGCAGCAAAAGAGAGCAGCCATGGGGAGAATGATGTGGCATTCCCACTATACAATTTCAAGTCTCTTGCCTGTGTCAAATGTTAGTTTAACATAACATTTCGAGGGGAACATTAGAAACACTCACCATGCACCTAGCTATCTCATCTGATAGCTTCAAGGCCTCTGGATCGCCCTCTTTCACCTTGATGCATCGCTTCATGAGCGATTGCACCACGGCCAGTGTGATGTTCAATGCATCGTTAGCTGCTTCCGTGGGTATGGTCATGATGGATTTATAAACAAAATAAGGTGGTGCAGAGGGAAATGAATACGGTAGATATCAAAAGTTGACTTTGGGAAATTCCGACAAGTCTGGATTTAAATCGGATCCGGTTGTGGGTATTGCTGGAAAGTTATGGATTGTGGATTGGAAAATGTGGACTGGGAAGAACAGTATCGTATCCATGAGTGGTTTGACAATTGTCTGACGCAATGGTATGTCACACTCCATCCACTAATGCCCAGATAAACGAATCCGAATGTGGTACCGATTCACAATGATGGCATCCAACATTGACATTGCGTCCACCCAGCACTTGAGCGATAATGGAAAATTTGGCTCCTGCTGGTAAAGGATTTTTTTATTCGAACTGTGTATACTGTGTAAGTAGGCATAACTACCAAACTTCTACACTACATAACATAAGATTGTGAGTAATAACGGGCGTCCAGCACCACAATTTATGCAACAGAACTCTGTAATGATATCAATGCCGATCCGGATCTGACGCTGATATTCATGCTGGAGGGATACGCCATACATGTTGCATCCGCTGTGCCGTCGTCAGGAGTGACAAACCATGCATTCACACCTGTGCCAAGACCGCAAGAACTATCCAAACCGGAGCATTATGCCATTGGATATCACAGCTTGATATGATAACCATAAAGTAATTGAGTTGGGATGACATCCGTAATGATACTGACCGCAGAATAATGTTTGCCACTCAGACAAGTTAATTCTGGAACACTCACAAAATATTGAATTTGATCTTCAAGGCCCAGGCTACATATTAACCTTACACACCTTCCAATAGAGTATCATATGTAATATGGTCAATGTGTAGGAGTACCAAACATATGCAATGAAAACTAAGTAAAGACAGAATATCATCACTGTTCATCAGGATCCAATAATTCGCATTTAATCATCGGATATTGTTGAAAGATCACTAAAGGGTTCAGGCGATATATCCGCTGCCGGGACTGTAGAATCAAGAGTTTCAGCAATGAGGGCAGCAGATGCTGAGGTTCCGACATGCCCTTGAACACCCGTCATAATGGACACATCCCATGCATGAGTCCACTGTCGGCCGATGGCTGAGATGTGTGGGTCTTCATCACTGTGAGCGAGCCAGGCCGGGAGGTGTGCATTTGCATGAGTAGGAGGGGCGTAAGCGGTAGTGTTGATCTGGGAACAGTGCGCAGTCAGATCATCTTTATGGTCCCGGATAGCAATGGTTAAATGGCCAATGGAAGCTGACATTGCTCTCCATTCTGTATCCGATGAATTGAGATGTTGCTCAAGTGCACTCAATTGCCGCCCAAAGATATCTTCCACCGAACTGAGTCTCGCATCCAACTCATTGACCCTTTCATTGGTGGCAAGAAGATCAAGCCACCTTCCGAGATCCTGGATGCTCTGCAGGATGTCCCTTGCAGTTGGCTCGGGCTCCACAGGATTGACCGCCCATGGTGCTTCTGCCTTGATGGGTGCAGGTGGGCACATCATAGGCGTTGGTTGAACCTCTGTGGGAACCGGTGAGACATCCATGCACATTGGCTTAGCGTCCGGAGCAGAGTCTAAATAAGTGTCAGTTCAAGTACCAACCATGGAATGAAAACATTCACCCCTGCATTCAATAACGTCGGGCTCAACTTCCGAAGAGGACAGAGCCGGTGGTATCAGGGTCTTCCGGGACCTGGTATTGACTGGAGTATTGATCACAACTCGGGACTTGGGGGCACGTGACTTGGAGTGTCTGACAGTGTTGCAGGTGTCGTCTGCTGCTTTGGCCTTAGCCTTGGCCTGCATTCGTTCTCGGACGCCGACTCCATTGATTGCACATGAGATCTTCATCTCATCACAATTAGTGCAGGCAAGTCAAATGCATCCGAACTTCTTATCCGGGAGGACAAGACATGCCACACCCAATTTGGTGCACTTGTCGCATTTCTGTGGGTGATGATGAACAGAATACTTCAAACATCTTAGTGTCGATTTTTTATGAATAATGAGGAGCTTACCTTCACTGCTGTCGTGATAGCAGAGTCCTGGCCCCATTCAACAGGCTGATAAACATCCGAGTCAGAATCTGTGGTGAGCCTAATGAAAACACTTACCCTGGTTTCTGCATCCCAGAAACCCCTATCATCAGTTCCTTCTGAGCAATCCGAACATGCCAGTGCCAAATCCTCTTTGGTGATGAGCGGTGATGGTACCACCTTAAGGAATATAATCAGATGGTGGGTCAGCTGTGCTGAATGCAAGAAGCGGGACTTGCCTGTGTCAGAGATGGTTTGGTAGTCTCATTTTCTTCATCATCTGACGTTAACCTGTTCCTCTTCGGAACAGACTTCTGTGACCGGGAAGTCGAGTTAGACATGTTGACCGATTTGGCCTCTACCGGGTCGTCGTCTTCTGCCCGTCTCTTCTTACCATTGCCAACCTTTGGCATCACATTCGTGCCTGACACAAAAAGGTTGTATCTCAGTGGGATCAGAGCTGAAACAGGAAGGGGGGTCAGAGGTTCCAATGCCTTTGAGAATGGGGATGGTGACAATGGCAACAGTTCTATTGCCGGTGCTGCAGGTTTTCTCGCATGGTTCATGTCTCCGGGAGGAAGATCAGGGGTAGATACAGCTGCGACGGGTGGTGTTGTAAATGAGACCGGTGCCGAAGTTGCAGAAGATGATAATGTTGGAGTTTCCACAAGAACAGGAATCTTAACCGCAACGCAAGAGTGGTAATCCATCGTCTTATTGAACTGCAGGTGACACTTAATTCTCAGGTCCTTGTCGGTAACAGATGTCCAATCCGGCGAAGTCTGAAAGATGCCGCCCTTTGAGCAGTCTCGCACAATGGCAGCACATGACAATAGCTGTGGGGACAATGAAGTGGCAATCCCTGCATGAAGCCTCAAGTCTTTTGCCTTTGCCAAAGGCGTTAATATTAATAATAGTAATAACATAGTTGCAAGAAATAACACTCACAACATGTCTGGCGATCTCATCCGATAGTTTCAGGGCCTCTGGATCACCTTGCCGCAACATCATGCACTGCTTCATTAACAATTGCACAGCCGCTGGTGTTTCATTCAGAGCCTCATTAGCTGCGTCCGCAGGTGTCATGGCGATATTGAAACTTTGTTGCAGGGTAACGGGTGAGATGGTATATGGAAGGGACAGAAAGGTGACTTTTGAAAATTTGCACATGGGTCAGGATTTATATCCACATGTTGGTTGTGGCTCTTTCTGAGTGTGGTGCAATGTGAAGAAGATGAATGGTATGACGATGGCCCACAGTTGCGACATGGTGCCACTCATTGGATTGTTTTCTATCCTCCTCGAAACTTTCTTTCAAACCAAACTATCATGACCCCAAGAACAGTGTGGTTTGTTACTCCCGAACAGCCATACCTTGGCAATACCCCCTCCATGTTCTCCATATATGGCAGCAATGTCGACAGCAACAGTCCGGCAGTGCTACACCTTCCTCTAGACGCAGATCCAATTGCCTGGTGGGGTGCTTATGTACCATTAGAGTCATGGACTCCTCCCAAGCTGAGAAAATCCAAGTTCAAAGGAGTAGTCGGATTGGCGGACTATCCATGCTTTCAAAGTAAGCATGGCCCATCCTGAGCCAGGATACTAACAAACTTCCAACAACAGAATATAACTTGGAGAATGAATTTCCCCCCGGTGTAGGGATTCATTTCTGGCTAGGCTTGGAGAGACTGTCTTTACCTTACCTTATGTTGGCACTTTGTAGCTTACATAATCAAGTTACCTTTTCACCAGTTCTACTATGAGTCTGAGTATTCAGCAAGTTTCTATCATATTTCCTCTTCTCTGAGCCTTGAGCCTGGTCCAGAAACCCTTTAGGGTCGAATAGCAGCTAGGTTCTGCAAGACCCAACATTGTTCAGACTCACCATCTGAATTGTTGTACCTTCACCGGCTATGAAAAAACGGATGATCCCTTTGCAAAAAGATGTAAAGGTAAGCTGATGTTCATACCTATGCATTTCATTCACTGGATGGTGCATCTTAGCATACAAGCTATGCTTCAATGGCCACTTTGATGAAGTCACAAGCATGCTGTCTGGTGAGCCTCAGGTTTACTTCGATCTTCCATTTTTTTTCTAACAAACGGTCCAAAGATATGTATCTTTTGGAAAGCATGCGGACCTCTGACATTATGGGATCCATCGCCGACATCACCAGAAGCAATGACCGGGATCCACATGACTGTGGATGGGATAATCCTAGTTTGCAGGGGTCAGCAGAGGCATATGCCAGTGAATGGCACCATCCTGGCCATGATGTAGGCATCGCCGGTTCAAGTGAATTGGTGGCGGATGCCTACAATTGTGGATGGGACGATGTGATGCATGACGAAAGCATCATGCTTGCGGGTGAGTCCAGGGACGATATGTATGATTGCGGATGGGATGACCCGATGGGTCATGAATTGATCATGGAATCCAGTGCATCACCCGCTGATGCCTACGACTGTGGGTAGGATGATCCAACAGATGATCGAGACATTATGTCTGTGGGTGAGTCAGTGGAGGATCGGTATGACTGCGGATGGGGTGATCCGATGGATACTGATAAGCTATTCCCAGTGGTGATGGAAGAACAGCACCATGAGGATGTAGACCCATCTGTGGCTGAGGACCCGTATGATTGTGGATGGGATGGCAGAGAGGTTGAACCAACTGTGACAGCCGGTGATGATATGGTTGACCTTGTGTCATCCGGTATGCCAATAGGTGAGTCATCCTCCACATGGTTGCATTATGACTTCTGAAGCTGTGCAGGTATGCCCAGCACGCATGCAGGAAATGAAAACAATGTCTTCCAACATGCAGAGCATTCTATGCGACATGCCATCCGACACCTACGCAGTATTTGGCATCAGGATGGTAAGTATCCTTATTTAGCATTGCTCACAATTAACATAATGGGCAGTCAATTCATACCTGAACAACATACTGCCCACTACCGAGGGTGGCCGTGACCCCATGCCAGCATTGACGCATATGGCGAATCGAGATGGTCTGGGGAAATACTCGGACGCAGTGATCAAAGCGACAGAACTAAGCGAGGGCATTGCAACCATTCATCATTTCCTTAATGTACACCGCCGGCTCATGGAACAACTGGACGACATGATTACAACTTGTGAAAGGGGTGGTCGGGCTACATAAATAGGTGTCCTATTCTGGGCGACAGTACAAGTAGATTTAGAATTGTAAATATATTGACTGCCGAGAGTGACCTGGCCAATGAACAAATTGTATCACTGCACTGAGAACGTATCCGGGATATTCCCAGTTACAAACGCAATTGACCGGTTGTGTGCGGTGATGTGAAAGTGGCCAATCACCATCTCGGATGACCGTTTTCCATCTCACAAAGCTCCCTGATGAAAGAGGGTGGGTGGACTGAAATTATAATTAATGAATAAAGCAGTATCGACCTCAAATAGCCACTCAAACATCAGCCTATGAATTATGGGAACAACGTAGTATCTAAAGAATCAACATACATGTGAGTCTAAGAAAGCGATGTCAGAACTACCGACAGGATCATGTTCAGTACTGAACAAAATCAGCCTGATTATATCTCGCTAGGTGGTAGGTGGCAAAGTCGGCCAGGCTGTATTTTGCAAACTCTGTATGGGGGGTTCCGGCATAATTGTGCACGCTGTCCCGCATAAACCAAGCCCACACAATTCTGTCACCCTCCCCCACCCGGATGCCGTGCCTCACAAGCCAGCCAGAATAACTTACCATGACTCCCGGATTATACACCAAATCGATTCCCAAGTTTGTCAAATTCATCACCGCATGTTTATAGCTTCCTATGCAAGTAAGGATGTCAAATCCCTCCGGAGGGCATTTGGGATCACGATGACCAGGTGATTGCCTGTTGCAAACGATTGCAGCACTGGAATATGCTGACGCCCAATGCTGGAGACATCGGTACATCTGATCTTCACCATGCGCTGCCACCCAATGCCCGAGTTCTACGTGAGTGGACATTGATGCCCGGTAAAGTTGTGGGTGCATTACCCGAAGGGCTGCTGAAGACAAGAGAGCTGGATGCTGCATATCTATAATTAATGACAGGCTTCTATCGCTCTTCAAGGTGGCAGAGACTTCCAGAATAAACCCGTCCAACGGATTCTGCGGTGGCGGGCCTTGACACTGCACGCGTTCAGCACGCAATGATCTGGGTAAGCTTGATCTCACCTCATGCCCCTGTTGAAACCAGCAAGGTGAAATATTGATGCACCCAGGAATTAGACCAGGTTCTTGTGCGGGGTGAAAGTTCAACGTGGTTGTTCTCCATTTCGCCGTCCTTCCGGTCGATGTCTTGCCGGTGGTGATGCTGTTTTGTAATAGGTTGCCCATACCGACTGTGGCAGTAAACATATCATGCTTATTTGTTTTCTGTCAGTGTTATCAGACATCTTTGTGGACCCCCGCTCACCTGCAGGGACCAGTTCAGTGCACCCGGCAGATACCATAATATGATTCGGCAACCAGCGTCAATTACCACTGATGGGCGATCTAACAACATGGGCTTGGCGGGAGGGAACTTTGCTAACAAAGCTTCTTCACGAGCATCATTCAGTCCCGACTCCCATTTGGTCAATGCCTCATTGTACTGGATGACATCGATATCCAGTTTGACTTCACACGTCAGGATACTGTTATAACAATAGAGCACTGAACTCACTGGGATGCTGATATGCCTCTGCGAGCACGAATGCAAGGTGTCCGCATGCTAGCATGGTTTCTGGATCAAGTTCCGGAGGAGCAGGAACAAGTGGTTTGCCGGCAACATGTGCTGCAAACTGCTGCTCCACCCATTCGCTAGCTATGTCGACAGCATTGAGAGCCCAATCCTGTGGAATGAATGATGTCGGGTGAGTGTTGAGATCAAGGGCAGCCAGTTTCTCATGGTAGGCTTCCCAATACTCATGGGATATCATGATTGAGACAAAGGGCATGGCGTGTGAGCATGGCTTGCATCTTAAGTGAACATTTGCCGAGCAGCCTCGATGCTTATGATGTAACAACCCTAGCGGCAGCAATGTTATACACGTAATCTCAAAATGCTCTGGTATCTGGCAATGGTATTTGTCATTGAATTGTAATACACAGGTAGCTACCGGACAAATCTCATCTAATATTTACATACACCAGACCCATTTGCTAAATATATACATATGCTTCTGTAACTATTCAACATCGCGGCTGCCCTCATTGGCGCACAAAGGGATGCAATTGAGGGAATGGATCTCCGTGCAGAGATGTTCCGATCCGGCCATTGTTATAATCTTCCACCAACACGTCCACTGCCGCTTGAGAGGCAGCCATAGCGTCATAGACCTCGTCGAGAGGCTGTTCAAGTCGGTTCATCGCATCGACCACTGCTCCCGTGGCTTCGAGTTTGCTAACCAGCATGTGTCCAAGGTCGAGACCGAGCCAGGCGACTTCAGTCTGCAGAACATGAAGTTGTTGAAGGAGCGGGTCATCCATCCGTGGATGAGTAATTGGTTCCGGTATGAGCAAACCCAAGGCTGGCTGATTGTGCATTAATAAAATTATAATTAAGACTGAAAATCACTCACCCACTGTTTGAAGTGATCGGCCGTTAGCTCATTCACCTGAGCTACTGAAAGCTGGAGAGGCATTTGCATAGCCGTGAAATGAAATGGTGTTTTCCACCAGCAGTAGCAGTAGCGTGGAACCACTCGATATTGATCTACCGCCTTACCATCTTTGTTGTGCGGACAGTCCCGTAATCTCGCAAAGAGTGATTTGTGGTTTCGGTCTTCCATCTGGAAGTATGTTATGTGAAGGAGGACATTGCTGAGATAGACCGGCATGCTGGTATTAATGTTCATCACCGCGCACTTGCTCACAAAAGGGATCACGAAACACTTTAAAGTCTGTATCAGTAAGGTTATTTGATTGTTCCAAATGGACTTACCTCCGCCTCCCAGATGAGGTGTTGAACAAACAAGTACTGATAGGCACCTGATGGGTTAGGCTCTGCCAGCTGCGTGAGATGAATAGTGGTGAATCTGGAGGTGGCATATTCAAATATGTGGGCTGCATCCCAGATTGAGAATGAGCTGGCGACGGACTCGTACAGTGCGCGAGTTTGCTTGGTCATGGTAAGTATGGTATGGGAACTAACATGAAACCGGTCCTGGACAGCTTGTTTATATGCATTGTTGGAGCTTGAAAACACAAATGCGGAAATGTGGCTCATATTCCGGGATGCCTTCATTGTATGCAAAAAACATAATGTGGACTATTTATGACTCTTACTCTGATCCACAAAATACACAACATTCTCGGCAATTAAACAATGATCTTGAGCATTGGATTTGCCTTGAGAAAGGTTGTACGTGCATGTTTGGCCAATTCATGGTACATGTGAGCCTGCTGAATTGCATAACATTTGTGCTCTTCCAGCAGTGGATCGCCATTGTGAGTAATATGTGACAACCACATACTTGCCTTGTGGAGGAAAAATTGTAAGGTCCAACCCATTTCATGTTCTACGAGCAACTGCTCTTCCGACCACCGGTCACGCAAAGCCTTGGCCCGAAGCCAGTGGACCCTATAGACTATTTTCGGTTATTGTTTGGACATGATGGTCTTTGGACGGTGACTCACATTCATTCATCCAATCGTTGCTAATCGAATCACCTTGTACATCAAGAGACCAGAACCATGGAAGTGTGGAGTTTCTCTGTCCCTGGGCATTCGGATCGGCGACAGCAGCACTTGCCTTCAGATGACTCTTCTCCATCTGGAGATATTTTTTCCAGTAGAATGTGGGCTTGTAGATTGCCAAGTTGCGCCCGGCATTTTGAATAAATCATAGTTTGTAGTCTGATGACCTTTTCCACAGAATGTACCTGAGTCCATGCTCTGGTGACCTTGGCCTGAGATTTTGCCGGACGGACCGTGGTGCAGAAGAGCACCGCCTTGTCCGCTAAAAGCACTCTGATTGCTTGCAGGGTGTCGTTAGCCTGCCCTTCCTGAAGTGCAATTTCCTGACCAACTAGGTGGACGACGCCCAGCTCAGTGCATCTTTGTATGCCGATATTAGATGGAAGAGGTATAATGACATTCTCCAGACGGAAGACATTGCATTGCGGATCTTCATGGGAATCATGTTCACTGTCGGTAACAGCGTCCACTTCTTGCTCTGAATCATCTAGGAATTTGACCTCCATATCTCTGATGTCATCATCCAGATCGAAGTCCTCTCCGAGATGAGTGACTGCAGCAATGGTAAATTCATCTATCTGGTTTTGTAACTTTGTCCGGCATCTCCCTATCTCCAAATGCTGCGTTTCGGTGGGATATTTTCCCAACCTTCGGATGTCCATCAACAACGAGATCTGCAGCTCTTCTATCGTTATGCTGGATGCGATCCACGTGGCAGCACCCCGTTGTGCATTCCCTACTTCACAACCAACTCATGCCAGCAAGGCCAGCTCTTGTTGTTTCCGCGTCGGTGCTATGCTCATCTGATTGGTGATTTACTTCAGAAGCGTAGTTAGCGTGACTCACCCTTTTGTAGCTGCACGTCAAAGACGTCCATTGCCAAAGGATCCCCCATTCACCGTATTTGTGCTTGTTGATCCTGTTCTTCCCATTTTCCTGCTATGGCTGGATCAGCGGCATCATCAAGCTTCTGAAATGCTGCCGTGCTTTCGGAACCTCCCTTGACAGCATCGCGATATTTCCGACATAGAAAACCACCTGGAGATCATGAGCGCCAATTAATGACAGGAGTCCCAACTCATTCTGATCATTTTCATGAAATTAGAGTTGTTCATTTGGTAGTCGAGACACTCTTGTCAATGCGGGGTTGACATCCCTCTCATGGAAGGAGATATAATATTTAAGGGCGCCCATAATGTCTCCATAATCTCCCCATCAATTCTGGCTGCTCCTGTTATAAAGGTCGATGCATACCTTACATAGCACTTGTCCTGATGGCCATGGACGTGCCACAGTCCTATTCCCGGTATGATCTCCATAACAGCAGGGGTGCTCAAGTATAAACTTTCATTTACCCTATACCAGAAATACTTGTTATACTGGCAGTTGATGTCATATAATGTCAAGGCTCGAGTTAGTCCATTGGTGTGATGGCTCAAAGCATGACAAAGAGCATAGTCCATATTCATTTGTCTAATTAATGGTGTCAAGGAGGATAAAGCCAGTGAAATGTGTTACCATACCTTTCCCCTTTTTGGAAATCAACAATGGAATGAGGTACAAATGTTACGACACACGGTCGTGTGCGACTAGGATGATCTAAACAGCGACAACCACGACAGTGGTACCAAGTGCTGAGAGTCGTCGGCCTTTACAGACAAGCAAAGGTTGCATACTCAAACATAGCTCGTGGTGGTTGACGAGGGGTTACGCTGAGATGATAGCGGTTTACAGACAGTGAGAGGCGTCACTGAAGGTACGAGTCGATGTCGAGCAGGTAGCTTTAGCGGGACAAGGAGTTCAAGGGTAAACCTAGTAAGATTAAAGTAAGGAACGTCTACTTTAATCTTCGACCTTATATAAGGCTGCTCTATCATATCTAAGCTCAGCTCGAAGCTGGGTTCTAATCTGCTTATCTACATGAGTCAGAGATAGCGTCCATGAGGCGGGCTTCTATCGTAGATAGGGTCCATGCGGCACCCTTCTATCAGTACATGAGGCAACACGAGGCTTGCCTTCTATCTTGATAACATAAATAGGTCTTCTAGACCTATGTCGTCATGTGTCGTCATATGCGGTCCAGACCGCTTATCTAAGCCGGCAGTTGCCGCTTATCGTCTATCGTCATAAAGCTGGTGAGACTCCGGTGTCATCTATAGCCGTGCGGTAGCAGAGGGCTGTTCTGGTGGCAGGGGACTCATGCCATGTTACTGTAACACAAAACAGCCATGTCGAGCGCATGCGCAACCACCAATTCCAGTAGCTTCCAGTTTATGTCGGGAAGCATTCGCTTGATTCACAGCCCAATGATTGTTGCATTCTGACATTTGAACATGTTCATTGGCACCAGCCAGATGGGCCTTGTATTTATCTCTCGTCACCATAAAGCATAGGCCATCGGTCAACCATACTTCATCTTCCGGATGAGTAGGGTGCAAATGTTCTGCTTTGAAATTACCATCCATGACCAGAGATCTAGCATATAACCATTCCGGATCATCGCTGTTTCTTTCCGCCGGCTGCGGCGCATTTATTCTGGGTTGCGGACACGCTGGGCAAAAAAGAGCAAGTTCACTGGATTCCGGTTCTTTTGTTTCATGAGCGAAGCTGTTCCATTTAAGCAGTTTTAGTTGACGCCATTGCCGTCCCACGCGCATCAATTCCCTGTAGCGGTCCTGTTTAGATGTTAATTTATAAATGGATAACTGGCAGCACCTCAGACATACCGGAACTAAGTGGGGAAATATGCTAGATGTCATTCTCCTCAATTTACTATAGTAATTCATAGCTGATGTTCCGCATTCTAAGTTATCAAGCAGGAAGCCGTCTAGTACAGAAAACATGAATGCTGACTTGGGCCGACTGAAACATGCCGGAAACATGCCTATCGCAAATAGCTGCTTGTCCGGAGTACATGCATTTGGGCATTTACAATACCGGATCATCAGGGAATGGACGCCGGATTTGTCAACCATGGTTGTGCATTCCTTGCTGTGGAGGAAAGGAAGCTCCGGTATAGCTAAGCAATCATAGGAAGGTTCATGTACAGGCTCGTCCATGTCCTCCCACTCATGCACATTTTCCAGAACTGGACACGGCAGCCCACCATGTCCAAGATGAATTTCCATATCGATCTTGCTTAATGATGTTTCTTCAAAAAAGCTCCCGTTCCATTTGCTAATCTTGTGAAAAGGCAATCGCCTGTGCTCATGTCAACAGCATTTGGCACAAAACATAGGGTCACCGAGGCAGTCATGACACCGATACACCACCGAATTTACATCACATAATGAGCAAGACTTGTTTGTAGGTGGCGCCTCCCGTTCTAAGAGGAGGTGAAGGTAATTGTCCTTCCAAGGTATCCATTCACATAGATAATCGTTTGGGCTCTGGGAGGCTGGTCAGCCTTGGCAGGATGGCAAAAAAATTGCGCACCTTAGTCTTTCTTTTCCTCAACCACACGTTCAGTGGACCAATGGGACCATGATCACTCCAGTCTGCATGATGGGCATTGAAGTCGGGTGTAAATTGAGGGTACTTTCATTTGACTAGCTGAACTGGTCTTCGTGGAGCCAACACTCTCACTCTTGATTTGCCCATGAACTTGGTATGAAGTTGTGTGAAATAAGACACATAAGATATCATAGACCCATAATAGCAAATACCCCTCACTTAATAGCTGAAAGGAAAGGAGGGCAAATAACTTACTGCACATATTTTACACCCACTCACAATCCCATGCAGACACACTATCACTAAATCCTATTACTATCCTCTTAAGTCTATAATGTCTGACCATGACTCTGCCTCTGAATCTGACTCCAGGAAGCAGCCTCCGTTAAATGAGGAGGAGGTTGCAATCCTAAAGTCCTACCTTGAGCAATGGGACTCAGCTGAGCCATCAGAACGAAAGAAGGTCTCCAAAGCAGCTGCAACCGAGGCTCGGATGAAGGCATCAGTAATGTCTATAAGACTACTGAAGGATCGAAAAGTGGTGGGTCGCTCATCATCATCACCATCCCCACAAAACCAACTAAAACATCACACAGGCCTATGAGGCATGATTCCGAAGCCAAGGGACAAAGAGGAAGCCATCGAAACCCCCTATCAAGATTGGCCAGAAATGGACCGAAAGAAGTGTTGTAGATACGCTCCAGAAGAAGGAACTGCTAGAAAAAATTCAGGACGAGACTGGAGCCAAGCCTGGCATGAAAGAGATGATCAACCACTACACCAAGCAGCTCAATCTGCTCATTGCATCCTTGTCACCGGATGAGCTTTAAGAAGCGAAAGACACAGCTGAATTGTGGAACCGTCAAGGTGTTCCGGACGATGTCAAGGCTGACATTGCTAGGGAAAAAAGCGATGATATGATTCATCATTTTGCAACTGAGATGTGGAACTGTGCGGGAATGAGGGTCTTCATCATCTCTGCCTGGAAAAATGAGGGTAAGATTCATGTTGCCGGGTGAGTGATCCGATGCTTTTGCCATATCTTCTCTCACATTTCTGACAGTCACAACTATAACAATGAATATGGTGGTGCAGACTTTTTCATGAAGACTCATAACTGGGATATCATTCTGCCGGAATGGGATTCCTATGCCGAGAGCGCATTCAGTAACTACCTTAATATGCTTCCGGAGGATTCACGCTGACACAAATCAGACGGTAACTTGGACGGCAATGCGGTTATTACCAGGAAAAAGGATCGACAGGATAAGACTTATATTCTTCAGGTCGGAGATGACGGATATCCCGTGCTCCCTGCATGCGACTCTGTGGATCTAGATACCAAGAAAGCGGTGATCTGGGCATTTCTAACATGGCATTATAGTGGGTCGACTTCTCTCCCACTGTGAGGGATATCTAATTGTTGCTAGGGAAATGTTGTGGAGATTCAAAAATTTCAGTTCCATGGAAGTATGTGATACCCAGATACACCAAGATCATACCAGCAGAATGTCCTCCCAAAGGGCACAATCTTGCAGAGCCATCGAAGCTAAAGCAGGTTCACGCCACTCAGCTGCTACAATTCTGGTATGACCGACAGGAGGAAGGCGAAGCGCACGCATTGGAATTCATCAGTTGGTGGGACAATGATAAAGAGTATATGGTACTGGCAGCTGACATCAATGTACCAGTGATGAAGCAAACAGAAACAACCAGACAATCCAAGCAGAGGTCGTGGTCCCGGAACCGGAACCGTGAGCTACCTGAACCACAGCAGTCTACCAAAGGAAGATCATCACTGTGTCGAAGTAGAAAGAAAATGCAGAGTTCCGACACAACTCAAAAAAAGGGAGCTAGCTTGTTGCTTCATTCATGGAAGGGTAAGGGACATGAGTCATCTGCCGATAAAGTCAATGACCAACCGATCACCACTGCTGAGTCTGTTGACGGATTGGACGACTCAGAGGATGAGATTCCGAGTCAGCAAAAAGCAAACAAGTCTAAAGGGAAGAGCAGACGCTGGGTCTCCATGAGTAGCAGCAACTACACAAGCAGCGATGATGAGCAACCCGGAAAGTTGGTCAGCGCCAGCAAAAGAACCAAAAAGGATGTTGCTGCATCTCCTAGCAAGCCCGCTACAGTAGGTATCCAGCACAAGCAGATGAAGAGAGTGGTAGAACGCCCGCAGAATGCTGTCTGCAAGCATGGTGAGAAAGGCAGCGAGCATAAACCTTCTGCAACATTTGCAGACCTCACAGCCAGTGCACCCAGGGTACAGGTCGAATGGCCTGCACAGGAACTCAATACTCCTGATATCATCCGGGGGAAAACCCGAGTTCACAAAAGGACTGCCGAAGAATCCTTGGAAAGGTCTCCCGCAAAACGGACAAGATGTCAAGTGGCAATTCAACAGGACAAGGGGATTGTGAGACAGGCAGGGAAAATGGCAGGGAAGAAACAGGTTACTGAACAGGCTACCAATGGGTCCCCCTCAAAATGGACCAGGAGCAAGACTTCACAAACCGGTGCGGGTAAACATTCCCGGAAGCCCAACTCTCGGTACAACGATTATGTAAAACCTTGAGTGATGTGAGTCTGTGTTCGTTTCAAGGGGGGCAGGGTATCTCTTGCGATAGCATTCACTCACCAGACCAAGATCTGGTCACGACTCATGGACTTTGTGATGTGTCTTTGTAAGTCAATCTATAGGTCGGGCATATGTTGTGTATATTGTAACACATTTTCTGTGATTGCATTAGATACAAAGCTCGTGTATATTGTATTACATAGGGAACTAAGGTCATTGCATACTATCCCTCTGCTGCTCCACTCTGGTTATCATCGCATCTAGCGGGTACATGATCCAGTGGTGAATGTTAAGTAAATGGTGGATGTTTATGACATCAGCACCGAGGTCAGTGACCCGATCTCTTGCCTCCGTGTATGCACCAAACAAATGCTGGTTGGCCATGAACATGAGTCCTGGTCGTGAGTCATATACAAGTCCAGCCCCTGGCACAACAATGCTGTGGACATATCCATCGACTGTCCGGCACAAAAGTAAGCCGTAATCAGAATGGAAATACACAAAACTCACAGTTGCTGTGTCCTATGCTGTTGAGCCATCAGATCGCGTGGTGCATGGACTCTCCCACCTCTTGGAACGCATTGGGTTTGGTTGGAGACATGGATCTCTCTGCAACCACCAAAAAATTAGAAACAAAGTAAAAAGTGGACAAATCACACACCTGAGTTTGCAGATGTGGATGTAAGGTCAATGACATCCGTTTCCTCCTTGAATGTTCGGTTGACCGATTGGTTGGCTGATGGAGACGTCAGGTCAATGACATCCGTGTCCTCGTTGAATGTCCAGTCCACCGATTGGTTGGCTGACGTAGATGTAAGGTCAAGAATATCCGTTTCCTCGTTGAATGTCTGGTCCACTGATCGCCACATGATTGTTGGTCCCTCCATCGGATCTTCCCACCCACAATCATAAAGGTCATCCGTGCTTTCCATGCCAGCGCCTGAAAGCATCATGCTAGCTGTCTGCCTGTTGTTGGCATGATCATTTGCAACCTCTGCCTCCATCATTTCCGGATATGGGGTCTCAACATTCATAGATAGACCCCACCCACAGTCATATGGATCGTCAGCGGGGACTGCTGGCATAATATCATGTTCCGGAGCTGTGGTATCTTGCCATCCGCAATCGTAAGGATCGGCCATCAAAGCTATTTTGGCGGGTTTGCTGTCCTCCATAGGATCATCCTATCCAGCATCATAATGATCATTTGCCAGTGCAGCTGGTGCGATTATCCCATCCTTGGAGTATGTTGATTTGGCTGCAATGTCCATGGAGTCCAGTAAGATCCATCCCTGGTGATAGATCGGCCACTTACCTGCATCGGATCTTTGATCTTCCATTCCTGACGCCCGGTCAGCTCACATATTGCTTTGTAAATGACCCACGCACTTTCATCCATTGCTTGCAGTGCTGCAGCAGTCACGTTACCACCCCATCCACAGTCATATGGATCTTCTGGCGGTGACTCGTTCAGGGGCACTGTCTTGTTGATTATCAGATCATCCCATCCGCAATTGTACGGATCATCCATAGGAAATGTCATCTCGTCGGTAGGCTGGTCGGACAATTTGGTTGGATTTGCTGTCATATTGTGTCAAATGATGCCAAATCCGGGCGCCCAGTTCAGACTTACCTCCATTCAATCTTTCATCTGTTAATGCTAGCAATGGGTCAGTCGTGATTTCAGAAAGCAACTGATGTAACTTGCTTTCCTCTAATGGCATGGTTGCTTCCTCAGATGCAACATTCATGTCATCCTCCCATCCACAATCATACGGATCCATCGGTGAAGACACTTGAGGGGAAACCGACACGTTCGAAATGGTGTCATCCCATCCACAATCGTAGGGATGATACGTCGGAAGCGTTGTTTCAACATCCTCATGGAAGGAGTGAGTTCTTGTGGTCAATTGTACTGGATCTTCTGTTGGGTACAAATTAATTAGCTCCATTGCGAGCGCCAGGCTGTTGCTTACCTTCCAGTCTTGTACAGCCTAATCAGATGAGTTAGTTGAGTTCGATGACACAGTGAAGCAAAGAACCTTCTGCCGATGTTCGGATGGCCGGTGACAAACCAATGTCTCCAGTTGACCAGGAATGCTGGGCTGTCAAAAAGTTGGGCATCCGGAGCAACTCTACAACATACATGTCTAGTACAATGCGTGAGATCGACAATCCTCGGCTTTAATATGGCACTCACCTGACAGCATGCTTGTGACCTCATCAAAGTTGCCATTAAAACACAGCTCATAATCTACGGGACAAGGTTGATTCAGCGATGCCAGTGATCCAGGTAATGACTTACTTTTATCTTTCTTTCCTACAGAATCAACCTGATATTCATAGCAATGGGGTAGCTCGGAATGTAATTTATATACTGCCAAGGAAATGTTTCAATCATTCCTGGCTGATAGGGGTTATAAGGTGAACTTACATTTATATATTGGGTAGGATTCCAATCCGACGATTCCTTGGAATCTCGGAATGGTATCCGGTTTGGGAGGAACCCATGACTCTAAAGGGACATATGTGCCCCACCAATCTATGGGGTCCTCATGCAATGCAGGGCATGCCTCTACCGGCAAGTCAGTTGATACAACACTATGATGTTGAGTGGGATTGGAATGGAACAACATGCTGGTCCATTTGTCGCCAACATCTGGAGAGAGTGAGTCGCCAGCCTCCGAAGAGACTGAAGTGGCAAAACGAACTTGTCTCTCAGGCATGAATGTTTGTGTGAAAATGAAGTCCGAGAAGGTGATGAGTTGCCAACATATACCTTGATGTGTGGTCCACCAACTGTGGAGACCAAATACGTGGGACAATGATTGGTGAAATCCTTCTATTACGTTATTATTATATTATATCGGTCCATGCTGCTGTTCTATGTTCGCCACGCAGTCTCGGAAACACCCACAACCGACAAATTGGTATTGATCCCGACATTTGTAAAATTTCTCAGAGTCATTCCTCTTTCCCTTCCACATAGCATTACCCCAACTCACCAACATCTTTCATATACTCCTATGACATCTTCCGAACAAGCAAATGCTGCCCTCAATGATACTTTGAAAGATGTTCAATCCCTCATCAAACAATGTATGAAGTTGAAAGCAGGCGATTCAGCAACGGCATTGGCATTGTCAGATGAGATTGCTAGGCGCTTGGTACGTCCGGTTGCTGTTGATTGTCTAGCTAATTTTGGATTACGGACATAATTTGTTTCAGGCAAAAGATTTAAAACACTATGGAGAGAGTGCAACATCGTTCTCTCCCCAGCTGCTGTCATGCGCAGCGGTGGTACAGCAGTACTCTAAAGGCGGCATGTTTAAATCATCGCTGGACTGGACAACTGTCGGCAACAATGACCCATGCATTAAGGATCATCCGTGTTTCCACAAGACTATGAATTATCGAGCTCCTACTGGTTCCAAGACGACGGAACCTGATCTTGCCTCTCTCGCTCAAACAGATGTACAAGAAGCTGTCCTATCATCTCTGTCTCTTGACGGTCCGGAGGGCAGTCGTATGGCCGATATCCAAAGTGATGCTCCTGCAAAGCTTCTCCCGAGCACGGAGAAACCTCAACATACAATTTCCTCAGAAACTTTTGCTACAATGGCACCACATTCGCCCCCGCCAACTTTAACAAAGGCCTTGGAACCTCTCACTCCTCTGCCCATATCAATGGCGCCCGCGAAGACACCGGAAAAGACTGTTTTGAAAGGAGACCCAAAGACATGGGAGAAGACTCATAAACAACGTCGTAATGATAAAAAAAGGCAAGTGGAAGACAATGTCGCCGACGAAACGGATATGATACATAGGCCTTCCCTGCGTCCGTTATCCCGGCAACTGAAAAGGAAGAAGAAGTTTATGTCAGATGAGGAAGAGGAGAACCAGGCCCATGGAACTATATATGTAGCACAGAAGGTACAAAGAGACCTACTGATCCATTAGCTCTAACCATAGCATCATACGCACAGCAGCACACGTCATCATCGACGGCTAGTGCAGTTGCAACAGGGTTAAGTGCAATGCCATCTGACCCGGTCGGTGATGAGGGTTTCTGGGATGTGGACACCAGGGTAGTTTGTCGTCATCTCAGTGATTCAATTGTAATGTTTATTCTCCCAGCCTGCCAGATGGGGTCGGGATTCCACCATTGCCACTGAGGCAGAGGTAGGTGTTTGATTATTTAGGTGACAATTCCCGGTAATGAACTTGTCGCAGTATTCCATTCATCACCACCCCCGGAAGTGCGACAAATGCGTGAAATTAGACATACCTTGTATTGTCCTCCCGGATAAGAAGTACGGTTTCACTAGACTCGCCTGCGCGAACTGCGACGAGATGAAGATCACTTGCACAATCGATGGTGTCGGTGTCTGGGAGAGGTTGCAAGCCAAGACTAAGTCAACAGAAACCAGTGTGCACCCTCCCGCAAAACATTCTAAGACTGTTACGCACTCAAATAGATCTGTTATGTGGAACCCTAAGAGGGGTGTCGTCCGCTAACATTCGTGACGTAACCGGAAGGATCTGGTATCGCAAGTGAGACTGGCGACGACGAGTCGGCAGTGATCACAGTACGTGCATGTCACGTGACTTCTAAGACGGATGTCTATGAAGTCACTCAAGGTAAGGACAGTCTTGTCCGAACAATGAGGTCGATCGAGGTAGACTTAGTCGCGATGAGCAACTAAGAAAAGACACTAGAGACTGAAGCCAAAGGGGCGTTCAGAGGGAAGTATGTTCCAGGGAAGATTGAGTAGATTCAAGTTAGAGAATCTAGTACAGGGTGACCAACTACTTATACTAAGTGGAGAGGGTGAAGGGCAAGGCTACCGCACAGTAGGTAAGGGTAAAGGGGAAATGAGAATGGTATAGGTGCGTTGGCAACAGAGCTGGATTAGTGATGGATGGTCGAATGTGGAATGAGACCAAGAAATGTTGGAACGGACCAACAGTAAGAATACAACGTGCGGGAATCCGCAGTCAGAAGGAACAGAAAGGGAAAGCCACATTGGTGGCATGAGTCAGACCGAGTCATAGGTGCGGGACCACATTGGTGGTCGAATCAGGGGAGGAACGTGCATGCACGTGCATAGAGACGGACGATGCGAGGGACGGGAATGGTCCCGAGGATCCGGTTAATGGAAAGTCGGTAAAGGAGGACGAGCCGGTAGATGGTGAGGGCAAGGATGAAGGGAAAATGATAGGGGGGCCATGGGACCGATGTTACTTGTAACAAAGACTCAAGCCTACAAGTTGCAGGCTGCCAAACCACTGGCCAAACATGTCCCATCCAAGAAAGCACAACCACCAACTAGATTCTCCCGTGCTGAGCAGAAGGTTGTACAGGATTCATTGGACGGTAAGCTTTGAATCCATAGGGCTGGCAAAGGTCAATGCATCAAATTTTAGATTCAAACACGGAACAACCAATGGACCTTGTGACAACATATCCAGATCCACCAGCGCAACCCACCGTGCCACCATTGGAGCCTGCATTGGTCCTGGCAACAGCCCAATCATTGACATGCATCTGGGAGGCACAAATCAGGTCACCCGCACCCCGAAACCCACTGGAGCCTGAGCCAACTGCAAGGGACATATTGCATAGCATGCACAATCTCGGCAGGCATTTTGATCTTCTTGCCACAAATGAGTGGGTGGATGCGTTGGACGAGAGGTTAGACTCGGTGGAGGAGCAGCTTGATATCAGATTGACTGTGCTGGAGCAACGGTTAAACACATTGGCCAAGCAGTGGAAAGCGACCTCATCAACTGTGGGCAATCTGTCCATGGGCCTTCATAAACTCAAAGACAATGTGGCTCTTCATCGCCCTTGTGAGCACATTGGTGGAAGTATAGCATCACAACAACAAAATGCAGCACTGCTCCCATGGACACTCCAAAATGCTGGTAGCGGTAATGAAGGCATGGCTATCTCGCAGATTGGGAGGCCACCTCGTGGATGGACAGAACCTGGTAATATAAGAAGGGGACACAATTCCGGCAGGTCAACATCTGCTGCTCAGATACCGGGAGCATCACTTTCATTGTTGTCCTCACCTCCTTCCTCTTGATTCTCAAGCACACCACCCGGTACATCCGGCGAGTAGATATTGATTGGATCCCCTATCAGATGCAGCTAATACTGTACTTGTAGTTCTACTGTGATTCCGTAAGGGGGTAGTCAGTCAATTTTGGAGTCATTTGGCGCAAGGCTTGGATATTGTACCGATTTGATTGTTGAACGGTTAATTTATGAAGAAAACCATGTACACAAGGCACTACTGCTTCGGTGCTCATTTTTGATCACGTATAGTCGTGGATTCACTACATCAGCTGATACCATAGCCCCTGCTCCCATTGACATGTAATGCGGCTGAATATAGACCGTTGTTCCGAACCAACATGACCGGATTTCCCCCACGGAATGAGTCGGCCGGGCCCTTCTATAAACATGAGATTGTTATAATCAGCACCATTCTCTTTGTGATATAAGGTGACATCTGAGAGGCCTGTGATACCTTGTTCCGGCTGATGGTACAGCTAATAGGCGGGCCGCATATGTACCTCAAAGTATGCAACCGAACTTTGTAATGATATCAGTGCCGATCCGCATCTGACATTGATATTCATGCCGGAGGGATATGCCATACAGGTTGCATCCGCTGTGCCGTCGTCAGGAGTGACAAACCCTACATTCACACCTGTGCCATGACTGTAAGAACTATCCAAACCGGAGCATTATGCCATTGAATATCACAGCTTGATATGATAATCATAAAGTACATATCCTAACCAGGCAGGCCAATATATTATAGCAAACAACAATGCAGTCTATATCTACAAATTACATACACCCGGAACCGAACTACAGAGGATGGCGACCGGGAGCAGCATAATAAAGAAAAGAGTAGCTAAAAGTACTATATATATATATATATATATACATACATAGTTAACCCGATACTATGACATTAAGTGTTCCGGAAACTTGTTGGATGTGCCGACGCAACTCTCTACCAGGCATCTGAGGCATTGAGCCTTTGCTCCAGTGCGTCTAACTGCTGGTGGAGGGTATTTTCTACCAAATGAACTCTTATCTCCAAGGCGTCCACCCACTCATTGGTTGCCAAGAGATCCAATCTCCTGCTGAGGTCCTGGATCCCCTGCAAGATGTCTCTTGCAGTTGGCTCGGGATCGGCGTGGTTGGCTGGCGCAGGCTGTTGCTTCTCCTCTAATAGTCATCTGGGTTAGTTTCAAGCTCCTCGCTGGATTTGACGGCAAACTCACCTTCAGATATGTCAAGTTCAACCCGAGTGGGTTTGGCAGGTGTTCTCTTAGCCGGGGCCTTGGAGATTGTGCAGGACTTCTTAATGCGCATTCTGGAGTTTCTGGCTGGCTTTGATGTAGCCACGGCCGCGGCTGCCTTGGCTTGCATTCTCTGCCTAACACCGACGCCGTCAATCGCACAGGTGATCTTCATTTGATCGCAATTTGCGCATGCAAGTCGCGTGTATCTGAACTTTTTGTCCAGAAGGACAACGCAGTGTATGTCCAATTTCGTGCACTTGTTGCACTGCTGAGGATGGTAACGAATGGAATGCTTGAAATATGTTAGCTTTGGACTCCTGCTATGTACTGACAGACTTACCTTCCACAGCATTGCGATCTGAGAATCCTGACCCCATTCGGCAGGCTAAAAAAAACAAAGAATCAGTACCAGAATGCTATGCAGAGCGCGGATAACGCACCCTTGTCTCTACCTCGAGGAAACTCTTGTCATCGGCCACATCGGATGAGTGCGGACCAGCCGCATCTGAATCATTGTCCAATGCTGCCTTGGACTGTGGGAGCACAATTGAGTTCGGGATTCATATGCAAACATCATTGAACATACCTTTACAAAGATGGTTCCGGTGTGAACTTTGTCCTTGTCAGCCAATTGAAACTTCTTCTTTCTCTTCTGTCTGGGCCTAGAAAATGGTGGAGGCAACTTGGGTCCATCTGTGACAACCGCCGCATCCAAATCTTCATTGTCGGCCTTCCTCTTGTTGCTGTTGCCGAGCTGTGGTGCTGCCTTTCTGGGTTTCTTCTTAGTGCCCACCACAAAGAGATTATATTTGACGGGGAGGTGGGGCAGATTTTGCACACCCGCAGCCGTTGGGTCTGGTGCCGGTGATCCAGGCTCGGGTTCTGTCGCCGTCGCAGCAATCAGATTGTCGAGGGATTGTCTGGATGGAAGAGCCGACGGTGCAGAAGACGGCATAACGGGGTCCGTTGCTGATAGGACAGCGGTCACAGATCCTGCATCTTGAGGATCCAAGTTGGCAGGAAACTCGGCGGGAGAGGGCAGGCGGTAGCCCACGGTCTTCTCGAATCATGGGTGGGTCTTGATCCTAGGGTCGTCTTCTGCGACAGAGGTCCAATCGGGGACACTCTCAAAGGTGCCAGCCTTCGAGTACTGCCAGATAATGGCGGCGCAGGAGAGTAGCAGGGGAGAGAATGATGTTGCGGTCCCCATGTAAAGTTTCAAGTCTTTGGCCTGTGTAACACGGTCAGGTTGAGAAAAACATTCAAAGTCGGAGGAAAAAATGAAACTTACCACTCGCTGGGCGATCTCATCAGAGAGCCTGAAGGTTTCCGGATCGGCTTCCTTTAACTTCATGCAACGCTTCATGAGTGATTGCACATCAGCCAGGGTGGCATTCAGGGCATCATTGGCTGATTCCACGGGTGTCATGATGAATTTGTAAAGCAGAGTTTTGGTTGCAATGCACAGGATGTACGGAAGGGGGGAATCGTTGTATGGGAAAATGTCGTACAGCGGCTGGGTTTTATATGAATCCGTTGGTTGTGGGCATTCTGAAAACTGTGGAAAGTCAGATTTGTGGGACAGGTGTAAGACTATTGTACAGAACAACCATGGCTACCATTGGCTAAACCCAGTGGATCGAACTCGGGAAAGGCCGATTCACAACTGTTTCCGGAAGATCATGTATGGCTGTCTGGGTATCCAATGCACAACATATCACCATTTATGGGTGAGAAGTGGATTAATGCTTGTTGCGGTTCACGCGGCTCATCAGCAATGGTAGGAGGCAAATGCTATGAGAGTCCGTTGTCGCAATCACGGGTAGTTTGATTGATCCTGGATCCACCGCAACAAGCCTTAATCTAGTCCAACAATCGCTCTCTGCTGGGACCAAACGGACATTTGTTTGTTCCATTTGTAACACCTTCCGGTATGAGATTCAATCAATCCACATTCTTCTTGAAGACCAATTATCGGCCATTTGTCTGCCTTTCCAAGATTAATCGGGGATACGCGGCAAAACCATCCCCTTCCGATATCACTCCTGCCCTGCCGATGTCACAAATTTCGTCATCCATGACCCATGTGGAGCTCAGAGGCATATTCTTCCGAGCCTAAAGATATCACACTGACTTTTGTGAAACAAATTCATCTAAAACATGACTTAAGTGGCCCCAACAGTCATTCCTCAATATCACATTCAATTATCCCCCAATAGCTGTCACTTGGTCCAACTGTCAGTCTGTCCGAAATCAGAGGCTTATTGTCCTCGATAGTATGATGGTGAACTTGTCCTTCCGAAATTATATATTTTGTGAACCATAAAGGAACTAATGCTCAATGGTCAGCCTTTCCGACATCAGATTCATATTCCCTTGGCCGGCCCTTCCAACATGGTATACATATTGACATATAATGAGCTGGCCCTTCTGAGATCACTTGCTTGTCCTCCTGGGCCAAAATCGCTATGCCCAACTCATACGCTCTCCCAAGTTCCACATTCAAATTTCCTTACCCATCTGAGCCAGGCCGTCACTCTTTCCGAGATCAGATGCCTGTATTCTCCTGGGCTGAACACGATCAGCTGGCCCTTCCTATATTCAACTGTATTGAGTCCATCCGATCATATGCATATCCTCCTGGGCCGAGAATCAACTAGTCGGCCCTTCCGATATCAAATGTTTGTTCTCCTGAGCCAAACCATTTCCCCCCAAGATTATATGCAATTCTCCTGGATGCGTTGAAAAATGAGTGGTCGGCCCTCCCGAGATCTGCTTGGCTCAACCACTAATCCTTCCCAAAATCATTTCTCGAACCCAAAAAAATCAGCCAGCCCTTCCTATATCAGACACATGTCCATCCATTGGCCCTTATGCTGGGCCGAAAATAACTACTAATCTGCACTTGGGCCCAAAAGTACTCACTGGGCCCAACCACCAGTCCTTCCGGGTATTCTCCTGGGTCGATAACAAACCTAGTCAGCCCTTCCGATATCAAACTGCATATTTTGTTGAGCCCATCCATTGGCCCATCCAAGAACATTCTCCTGGGCCGAAAAATAACTAGTCGGCCCTTCCTGGATCAGCTGGGCCAACCGCCAATCCTTCCAAGATATTCTCTTGGGCCGAAAATGATTGGCTGGCTCTTCCGATATCAAATCCCAACCATCCGCCCTTCCAAGATCACATGCTGGGCCAAAAATCACTAGCAGAGCCCTTCCGAGATGACATGGATATATAATATTCAGCTGGGCCTATCCGTTCTTCCTTCCGAGACATATATACAGGGCCCATCAGTCACTCCCAGTACCTGTATCCCATAACATCGGCCCGCTTATTCTATTGATCTCACACTTGGCCGACCCGCCAGCATGGGTACTATTCCAAGCTGTGGGCCCATCCATGATCAGCTATGCTTGGGCCCGCATTGGATGGCCCGCCTCACTGGGTCGATTCTCAACCTTTGGCTGTCCGACTAAGTCGGGAAATGTTACTGAAGGGGCTCCAATGATAACATTTTTATTTTATGAAATCACACCACCAGTGAGATGGTGCTCTCAGGAAAGTACACACGAGTCCATGTCGAGGCATGTTCTAACAGGAAAAAAATAAAAAATAAAAAAATAACATATATCATTCATGAGAGAATGTCAAGGTGTGATTTCATGGAATAAAAATGTCATCATTGGCAGATTTTGACTCAGATGACAACTTGACTAAGACCAATGAAGATCAATGTCTGGGTTGCTGTCTGAGCAAATATTCAAGGCATGTTCTAATAGAAAAAAATGCGACATTCAACAGGTTTCAAACGTGTTACATTCCAGTGGAAACAGATTTTGATTCTGTTATGACAACCACTTGGCCAAACACAACTCTGATGAGCTTTTAAGCAAACCAACCATGAGAATATATCAAGGCGCATTTTTATAGAAAATGAAAATTATCCTTGGCAGGTTTTAAAGCTGCACAGTCCAAGAGAAACAGATTTTGACTCTGGTGATCACTATTTGGTAGGTTTTGAACCCACACAGACAGATTTAGATTCTGTTGTATTGACTGCTTGGCTAAGACCAGTGAGATGCACTTCCAATGAACTCATTCAGAAGTGAACCCTCAAGGCACAAAAGTTCAATGTATGACCAAAGTCTTGATGCAAACTCGGAATGACAAGTACAAGAACAATTTAATTCTCTCCAAAGATCTCGACTTGATTGAAGAAAAAGAGCAGATTAGACATCAAACTTTCCAGTTTGATTCTAATGACCAGAGGAAGCTCTGAGATAAAGCAGAAGTATTTAGACAACAGTGCGACATTCTGCGCTTAGGTGCTTTCGAGTGCTCAGTGTCAAATAGCAGTTATAGCGTATTTTAGACTTTGAGTCCCACAATATGCAAGATGGTGGTGGAAAGATTGTTCAGAGTCAAAAGATACATGGTGCTATGTAAGTAATTTTAATTGTGTTCTCAGCACGTGGAAGCAAGTCAGAAGTGCAGCCAATAGGCAAAAGTATGCGAGTCGCTTCTGAATGGGTTCATTGGGAGCACATCTAACTGGTCTTAGCCAAGAAGTTGATACAACAGAATCTAAATCTGTCTGTGTGGGTTCAAAACCTGCTAAAGATGAATTTGCCAAGTGATCATTAGAGTCAAAATCTGTTTCTCTTGGGCTGTGCAGGTTTGAAACATGCCAGTGATAAAATTCATTTTCTATGAAAACACACCTTGAAATCTGCTCATGGTCGGTTTGCTTGCAAGCTGATCACAGTTGTGTTTAGCTAAGTGGCTGTGATCACAGAATCAAAATCTGTTTTCATTGGAGTGCAATGAGTTTGAAACTTGTGGGATGTCACATTTTTTCTGTGAGCACATGTCTTGAATATTTGCTCATAGACAGCATCTCAGAGATTGATCTTCATTGGTCTTGGTCAAGTTGTCACCAGATTTAAAATCTGTTTCTCTTCAACTGTGCAGGTTTGAAACCCGCCAATCACAATGTTTTTATTCTATGAAATCCAAAATGGTGGAATGTGATGAATCATGAGTTAATGCAAAATACACATCATTATACAGATTACAAACCTGCTTAGTTCAAGAGAAATATATTTTGACTCTGGCAATCACTTGAATAAGCACATTAAAGAATCTCAGCCTTAATAGGTTTGTATTTTTACTAATTCCCCAGGTTATTAGGATCAAACTTGAAAGTTTGATGTGTAATCTGTCTGCTCTTTTTCTTCTTCAACCAAGTCAAGACCTTTAGAAAGAATTATATTGTTATTGTACTTATCCTTCCGAGTTCGCATCAAGACTTTGGTCATATATTGAACTCTGTGTCAAAAATACACTGTGTGATCCTTTCATTGTCAGTTTTCACTCATGGACCCACTGTGGTGGTCTTCCATCGGCACTTTTTCAGGGAAATTATTAGATAAACAGGTCTTGAAGTCAAGAGCCCCAGCAGGAAGTCTGTGTCTTTTTCAATAAGAGTAGGATAAAAAATCAACACTGACTATGCTATTGAAAGAGCTGAAAAAGATGCAGATAAATGTACCTTGAGTACTCACTTCTGAATGGGTTCATTGGAAGTGAATCTAACTGGTCTTAGCCAAGCAGTTGATGTGACAGAATCTAAATCTGTCTGTGTGGGTTCAAAACCTGCTAAAGATGAAAATCTCAAGTGATCACCAGAGTCAAAATCTGTTTCTCTTGAACAGTGCAGGCTTGAAAGCTGCCAATGATGACCTTTTTATTTTATTCTATGAAGGCACACCTTGACATATGCTTCTGGTCGGTCAGCTTGCAAGCTGATCAGAGCTTTATTTAACCAAGTGGTTGTTGTACATAACAGAATCCAAATCTGTTTCTATTGGAGCGCAACAGGTTTGAAACCTGTGAAACATCACATTTTTTTCTATAAGAACATGCCTCAAATATTTGCTCATAGACGGTGTGTGCGAGGAATGATAGCTAGATGAGAAGGGGTGAAAGGAGAAGAAAGGGTGAAGTGGGGTAAAAACACAAATAGACCTCTGTATGCGAGTATAGATTCGGCCCAAGGGGATTGCTGCTGAGAACGATTCCTCTAATGTAAAATATGAGGGGAAACCTAGAAACTGGTAAGGGTAACTGAGAGTAGAGGGAACACGAAAGTTAGCGCTGGTGCGATGCAAGAACGAGTGAGTCGCCAAAAGCACGATATGATGCGCAGCCGTGCAGCTGAAGATTTGACAAAGCGCAAAAGCATGTGGTCGAGCTGAAAGGTTATTGCAAAAAGTCTGCGAGCGCAAAAATGAGGTGGCACGACAACGATAAAAAGCGGGTGTATGCAATGCAAACATTAGCACAGCCATTTAGAGACATGCCGCAGGAGGTATGCTGAAGGTTTAGATTTTTAGTCCTAGTGTTATTGCGTGCAAACAGATGATA